ATATTAAGACGTTCACAAGTAATTAATAAATCGGTTATTTTAACTATTTAGTTAGTGTAGCTATCATATTTGTTTTGAACAGAACAGCTGTATGTTGTCTCGTTGTAATTATAAATGTTACACTAACAACTAAAATCAGTGTTCAATGTTTGTTACAGTTGTTTTGCTGTATATTGAATACTCGATATATACATTTCACATCCGTTATCAAATGATTCCAGTTAGTATAATAATTAAATGCATTTTTTCCTTCGATATTGCAATTCAAATGTAGTGAAATTTATCATTTTTCACAAAACTTGATGTTGTATTAACTTCAATAAAAACTTTAGTTAGTATAAGACCTTTGCTGAGATTCTTGAATTTTCATAGTTTGCAGAGCTTATTTAAGCAGTTACTAAAAACCAGGAAGCAATGATTTAGTTGACATGAGGTTAGGCGCTTGCCACTAGACGGAAGGTTCTGTGTTTGTTCGGTGTCGTAGTTTGGGAACTCCGCTAATGAAGAGTCATATTGCGACAAAACAGATGTTCAGTGTTTTCTGGTTTCAAAAAGAATACCTAATTAAAATCTGCCTATATTGCTAACTACAATAACAATTGATGTTAACAGCTCTTAAATGTATGTAAATCATTAAATCATGCAAACGAACATCATAAAATACAATTATTAATGTTTATACAAAGCAATAATAACAGAACACAATGAGTTCGTTGTATTCTATTGCTATCTATTCAGGCACATGTAAGTTAGTTAACTTGTTATTTCAAATTATTGACATAATTTGTAACTTATAATAATTGTTTACTGTTTCAAATGGAAACTGAGTTAGTAAAGTACATCGTTAAAACTTAAATACTTAACTTTACATTCCAAAGAACTTATTCATCATTGATGGACAATTCATGATTAAAAATCTTCAAATTTTGTCAATAATGTGTGGTAACCAAACTAACTACCTTTTATGTAGCTGAAGAGAAAGCAACGAAAAACAATATCATTATGTTCTACATATAGTATCCTCTGTGATTCGTTTAATCTCGTGAAGAAAACCAATAAATGAATAAATAAAAGCGACTATTGAAGTGAAAGATATTTTTGGAAGCCTATTAGGAGTTCGTGATAAAGTTTCTCTTTAGTCTACATAACCGTCTCCACCATGACACATGTTATCTTGATGTTACTAGAATGTATACCTGATAGAAATATCAAATTATTCACTTGAAAAACCCACTAATAGTTATTAGGTAAACGGTTGTTCATTTTTCATCATATCTGCTAAAGAATTTTAAATTAGTCTGGACATAAGTACTAATATGCAACCAGAATAATATTTAAAGCCTATAAATGAAACTAATGTATTTTGCTGAACTACTTATTTCTTAACGCTTAGTGATCATGTGAATGTATATTAGTATCTTCAATAGATTAGTAATTTTTCATCGCCGTAACTAAACATAACGCTTTGTTAGATATGTTTTGATTAAATATCAAGCCATCAATGATAACTACTTGATGACACTCATAATTAACATCTTTCATCACCCCAAGAAACGAAGTCCTGTGTTATGTTTCAGTGGTGTCCAATGTTTTTTTTTCAGTTAATATCCCTTCATCAATTAAGTAAATACTCAATGTCACTAAAAATACTATAAAACAAAGATATTTACAAGCTGATTCCTGTTATACATACATGGTTAACCCTTTAAAATAATTGGATTTATTTGGTCTATATTGGATCCTAATTGTAGTTCATAGTGCGCGCTTTCATGAAGTCGCGAACTGGAACGAAAATCTATCCAATGTTCCGTTCTTTGGAATGGTTGTCTATGTTAATTAAAGCCATCAATTGAAGTTTATTCAAGATGACCAAAGTTCATTTTGTATTACGCTTAGTCAGTAGTTTTAGTGGTTGATCGTTCTATGGGAAACCTTGAGATATTGAGTATGACACCTGAAGAGTTCTTGGACATCTATTTCTAAGGTGTTCGATGTTATGAGGTAACAGATTTTCAGTGTTCTTTTATTTCAAATTTTCAAATAAATGAGACTTATCTGTGTTGAATATAAACTATAAATTACTTCAGTTACTTTTAACATCTAACATGTTAAATGTGGCTGACACTTAAAGATATTGACATTGAGTATATTTATTTTGGCATATCCATAATTATTGATATAATTAAAAGAAAATATCAATTTTATTTATCGAAATCATCTGAATTGTCAAGAGAATTTAATAAAATTAAGCATGAACTTTAAGAATAATTAAAATTTGTTGTGGAAATTTGGCTACGAGATTAATGGTTCTGTGAATGACGTCAGATAATCAGAATCTTCTTTGTTTACTTGATATTTGGTAATAAAATATTTTACAAAAAATTAATAACTGTTACTTATTTCCCCATTATTCATCATCAAATAGTTCAGGTATTCGGTGAGTAGAAATAACACACTGATAATCAGTAGTGACTAGGGTAAGAAAATAAGTCAGTAAAATGATCCCTGTCTATGTATCAATTTAACCCATAGTTCAGTAAGCATTTTTCAGTCCATGATGATTAAAATATAAAAAGTAATATTTCAGACCAGCTTGAATTCACTAGAACTCCAGCAACAAGAAAACGTAAAACCTTGGTAACAATATCATAACCGTTAAACTGATTATTGTCTGTCTGAACTGATTGGTCTGGTGAACAACGTCTAGGTGTTTGAAGTGATAGATATCAAATTCTCATATCATTATGAACATCACTGTAATACAGATATACTCAGTTGACTAATTAGAATAATCAGTACAGGGTTGTGGAGATTGTTGAGTTTTGACTGAGATCATGAATAGATGAATGTTAGACCACCGTTGAAAACCTAAAAACACTGAACGGCCGTTTCAACCTAGTATGGAACTCCTCAGCAGTGCGCATCCACGATCCCGCTCGCGGGACTCTAACCCAGAGCCTTCAGTCTCGCGCGCAAACGTTTAACATACTTAACCACTGAGCTGGTGCCCAACGGTGTTCATATCTAACCTGAAGATCTCAATCAATAATTCGAATAAGATAGAAAGCCAGTTTTACACTCCCCAGCTAATCGTAATCCTGAAAATTCATAAAATTTTCAATAAACTATTTGGTTATCCGAAGCCTGATAAATGATCTATTAGTTATTCGATTGAAATTGAAAAACTGCTCAAAGTTTAATATTCTAAGTTCACCAATTATACATCATAACTGTTACTACTAAAATTACTGATTTTGTTCCAATCGTATTCTAAGTATATATATATATATACATATATTAGTGGCCGTGTATCTGACTCCATTTATATTATATGAATGTTTGTTATTGAAATATACATCCCGGCTGCCTTTGTACATAATTGTCGACCTAAATCGCATTAACGAATAACGGAATAAAAATAAGTCATTGATCTGAACAGACGTTCAACGGAACGAAACGAAAGAGGTGAAAAGGGGAGAGCGAAGCGAAACAATTTACCTTAGACGAATATCCCTCCCAGTAACTATTCTACAGGACTTCAACACAACTCAAATCAAGAACACGTGATTAGTCTGACTAGAACGTACATATATTTCCACACCAAAACCCGACACAATCCAACAACAACGAACAATCAATAATAATAATAATAATAATAATAATAATAATAAGGATATGGGAATATATAATTCACCTGACATCTGTCAGACTATCTACAAGTCTGACTAAGCAAACAACCAGTCATTATCATTCACACACAGACATAAGTTAAATCACAACAAAAACCATATGGTTACATGATATACCCAGAAATTATTTAAATGTTACCCGTAAACATTTCAAATTTTAAGTCAGTTGACTGATCCATTTTCTTTCAATGCATTCAGCTGTACTGTGTTAAATGAAGTACATTTGGTAATTCTCAAAATTTCTATTACAAATAATCATAATAAACTATACAGAAATTTCGCTCTAATCTAAAACTGAAACGATTTTGATAAACTGAAGAAGTTAGAACTTTAAATAATTCAATATGTTAAACATATATAAGATCTCACTGGTTGAGATCATGAGTCAATTGAAGATAGACGATCATGGAAATCTTGGAAGCACTAGACGGCCGTTTCTTCCTATTGTGGGACTCCTCGGCAGTGCACATCCACGATCCCGCCTCACGAGATTTGAACCCAGGACCTATCAATCTCGCGTGTGAGCGCTTAACCACTATACTACTGAGCCGGCTGGCATCCAACAGTGTTAATGTCTAGCTTCAACTAATCCACGAAATTGAGAGACACATTGAAATTACTATAATATCCACAAAAAGCCTTCTGATGTATAAAACTAATAAAAATTCCATATGATAAGTGTCATTTGTATAAAAAGGGAATAGGGTTGAATTTAACATTGTATTTAGGTGTTTTCACCATTTTACATTAGTGATACATCCTTATTGACCATCATTATGTTAACGTTTTTCTCTCATATAACATTTATCTAGTTGTTTCTAATTAATTTACATCTGGAATTTAAAGCCATTAAAAATATATAATTTAACTTATATGCACCCTTTATGAAGATTATCAGTTTCATAATTTTCAGACGTATTCAACTGAATATTATGTGTAAAACTAACAGATTTATCAGTGCCCTTATGTACCATATGCATTTTTATTGTTAAACAATGTTTTACATTTATGAATAGAATCTAAAACTGACATTATTGTGAACAGTTACTATCTAAGATACTACTCGTTTTGAGAATTACTTAAATATATTTTATTAATGATGAACTAATTAGCTGTCTATTATGTAAATGTGAGAAATTTGATTTTCCTGTGTATTTTATATATGCTATCATAGGCTTTTGGTAATACAAATAACATACTTATTAGAAGGTAAGTTATGACTTAAAATGTATTTAATTGAGAAACCCAACTGTATAAAACAGTAACTTATTTGTTATAATTTTAGTTAAAATTTCCTCTTTTATTTGATTAGGAATATTTATTGTATTAAACGTTCACTGGCTAAGAAAAAGTAAACTGAAATTATGGAGTGTTTAAAGTCAGTACCTGTTGACAAATGTTGTTTAGTTGTACAAATGCCAACAGTTGAAGAAATGAAACGTGAAGTTGCTAATATTACATGTGAAATGCAATCAGTTTATATTGACAATTCAATTGTGTTACCATCATCCGAAGTGCCAACAACCATTGCATCACAAGATACCATTAGTATTGCTGCTGCTGATACTACTGTTGTAAGTAATTTCAATCCAATAAATTATCATACAATCCAGTTGGATAATAATACAACAACTGAAATAAATTCAATTAATTCTAATGTAAATGATAAATCAACTATGAATTTTAAGGTAAATCATTTTATTCCCATGAATGATAGCGCTTATTTTGTATGAAGTACAATTATAAGTTATATATCTATTTGTCAATTATAACAATCCTTGTTAAATAATAATTGTTTACAATTTCTCGACCATACACGATGATGTATATACGCAGAGTTATTACCATGAGAATTTGTATAGTTAACCTCTGTTATATTGTATATAATTCATTCCTTGAGATACGTCAAATGATATATACATATAATTATAAACAGAATACTGAATGATTAATAAACATGACCTAACAATATGATATATCAGTCAAAGACATAACAATTCCAAATGACACAAGTTTAGTTTTTAAAAATCACTTGAATCCTGTTAGTTTTAACTATATAAATGTAAATGGATTTCATATTGTAACTTCGTATGAGAGATTATAGTGTTGTTCATATAATGCAACATGTAAAATAAGAGATATGATGTTCATGCCGATAACGTGATTGGTATACTTTAAAATTTAAAACTTCGTAGACTGGAAATACAATATTATTCATTACTTAAACAGGATATGAGAGTTTATAAATTAGATTAAGTATTAGAAACAACTAACTGATTAAATTCGCTTGGTATAGTTTACTTGAATCTTCCCATTGATGTTTAGGACTAAAATTGATCAGTCTCTTATTGGCATATGTGCATACTATGTGTTGTTGCATCGATATCGCCTTTTGATATTGCCGTTTGAAGTGAATGGTACTGGGTTCGAATCCCAGAGTCAACGCCAACTCTGAAATGCAGGTACATCCAGTTGACGAGTCCAAAATAGGACTAAACACGCGTCCTAGATTCCACTGATAGCCACTATCCATCTTTGCTTATAATCTACTGATATTTGCGTGGTTAACAACTTTCGATTAGCATATTTCTACAAGATTCTATTACTAAAACTAAGCCTTATTTATATGTTATTGTTTAAATAGAATAAAACAATCAAATAAATGTATTTCATTCCATTCTTTAAATGATTCACATTAATAGTTCAAACAACATCTATATTGCTAAGATTCATCATATACCAAAAATTTATATATACCATTTTTCAACCGTTTCGAATATCATCATTTAATTGCTAACATGGCGCCAATTAAATATATTGATTCATTACAAAAAATTCTACACAAAATTGAAATTCATTTAATACATTATAATTATGAATAGATTTGTAATCTACTTTCTTTTTTTAATAAACAAATTATTACTTCTATGCAATTGATAATTTACATTCATAACATGGTAACTAATTCAATCATATTTCATTAAAAATAAAATAGTAATAATAAAATCGATATGTTTCTCATTAAGTTATCGAATCAATAAATGATTCTAAATACACCATTGTTAAATCAAATCATAAAATTAGATTAATTTCATTATGAAATTTGATCCTTTTTGTATCTACCTATATAAAGGAATAAAAATTTCTAAACTTATAAAAGATAAAATACATTGAAAGTTAAACAAACTATTAAAGATTAAAACATTGAAAACTTATTTTTATTACAGATTTAAAATAAATTATACATCTGTTATATCATATTTCAATAGTGACTAGCAATGAAATATGTTTCATCATGTTGTGGGTTTATCAGCTAAGTAGTTATTCGGTTCATTTATGATATGTATACTGACATTCGAATAAAGCAAACATTGGTTCAATAAGCAAGTTATTACTAGTTACTTGATACAAAAGTCATCGCTTGTCTAATAAATAGGATATCTTTTTAGATGAAGAAGTATGGCAGGTTTTTAATTTATAGGCTATCAGGGGCTGATGAATCTTCTTATGTTTTGACACAACAGCTGTCTAGCACTCCCTGGTTTTCAGTGGTATCCTTATTGTGATCAATCTGTGACAAACGTAATCTACAAATGGAATATCTATTTCTTTTTGAGTGGAAAGCTTCCGATATTCAGGACAGCATTTGATAAAACTTTGTTGGTATAAAAGTTACTTTACAGGGCATGTAGTATTGTCCGTATCTATAGAGTGATTATCTTTGCACGATGGCTATTGGTGAGATCCGGTGAAGAACTTCTGTTCTTTTCATAACTGACTAACATCAAGAATTTAAATCTTACTATTTATGGACATATTAGAACTTGAACGGTGACTACTAATATAAATAATCTTAAAATCATGTTGAATTCTATTCGCGGGTGTTGAGGGACAAATTTTTGCATCACACAAACTGTTAGTCTAAATTAATAACTACCAACTTGATGGTTTATTTTGTGCGCATTTATTTATCAGCTTTAAATATTATCAAGCTGTTAAGTAGTCATGTCTTTTCAGATAAAAGAAATCTCAGTTTAGTTTTAAAGTGCATATTTATTGTTCTTGCATTTTGTCTTTTTCTAACTTTTCATCAAAATAGACAAGAAACTATGATACAAAATACGGTAGCATAAATCTTCCATCTGACAATGAGTATCGGCAACACAATTCACCCGATTCTAGATGGTCGACATTGAACCTTGATGATGGTTATCATAATGAAGATGATAATATAGATGAACAAACAGATGGAAATGATAAAATTGATCAATTTAAATTAAATCGTTTTGGTAGTCTGTTGATAGACCGAAAAAAAGTGAATGAAAATTCTCTTTCTAAATTTATTTCACCATCGATTAATAGTAGTTCAAGTTGCCCAAGAGAAGAACAAGTTTCTGAAGAATTTATTATTAATGGAAAGCGTTACAGACAGGTTTATCAAAGGCGTATTGTATTAGAAAGAAAAACAACAAGAGACGTAAGTTGTATTAGGGAAAATTTACTTTTGATTTTGACAGTACTGATAGAGTTATTTGTTTAGTATGGTTACTGTTATTACTTGTCGTTGGATACGGGGTTGTTTACGTTACTTTATTTAATTGCTTCGTATAATCTACGTTAATATAGTTTTATACATTAAAATTGTATCTCTCATTGATAGTAAATGGAAAGACAGTAATTAATAGACAGCTTGTATTGGTCTGTAATAGTCTCTTATACTGTTTCATGTTAAAAAGGAGAATTATTTGTTTAAACTAATACGTAGTTTCATAACTAATTTGTTAGTAATAAAAAGGTTCACATCATGAGACCAATACATATTGACTCAGATAAGACTAAGTATTTATTTCATGGTGTTTGTAATATATTTTTCATTAGTTTTATTAACTCCTCACTGATTAGATTCTGTTAGTGATAAATTTTTGTCTTACGAACATTCGTTAACCTCATGAACTTATGATTGATTTCAATTCATAAATTTTATCTTTGAATCATCCACCTGAGCTACAAATTTTCTTCATTATCTTTTTGTTGAAATTCGAATTTACCAATCCCGTATGTCTAGATTTACCTTTTAGATTATTTGGCTACAACAAATTTCTTTTTTTTTATGAGAAACTGTTGTTACTGGAGAGTAGTATTTTTCTTATCTTAATCTCATAATACATTGGAATTACATTTACAAATGCCGTCACCAATTAATAATATATGGTATAATGATACAGTTCAATTCGTTATTATATGCTTCAAGTCTACTATTACGATAATCTGACAAAGGGATCCCTTAGGAATTGGAATATAGTAGAATAAATTTACTCACCACGAATAAGTCTATGCTGCACAATCAAAGTAAACACCAGATTGTTAGCAAATATTGTGGCTTTTGAGTTTTAGAAATAATATTTTGATAAAATGAACTATTTTTGATCCATATGAAATTAGTTGTAATATGAAAAAGTCAGATCTTATAAATACCTTTCTGTATTTTTTAATAAACGGAATACACCCATTATGACATTAAATAAGAAAGAAAGATTAGTTCAGCGAAGAGTTCTCTTTTCGGCGAATTCATTTTCAAAGCTGTACAATCGCAAATATATATACTTATTTTTACAGGGTGATAATAATACTGATAATAAACTTATGTTATACATGGTGACGGTGAGGTTAAATAAACAAAGGTATTAGAAAAAAAAATTTTTTAAAAACAAGGAAAGTTTGATAGTTAATGGCTTAGATATTCATCGGGTAAGAGTAGCTCAGCATGATAAAATAACATAAAATACGGAAACAGAGATGAAATGTAATCGGAATGATCGTTGAAATAAAAACAAACCGGTTGGGGGTACAAGATTTGAAGGGAAGATGGAAGGTGAAGCAGGTGGCTGTAAAAGAACAAGAGTAATGAGAAAGAGAAAAATTTTTAATACATTAAGACCATGGTAAAAGAAGAGGATGTATCAGTCTCTTTTGTACACATAATTCTGGTTTTTCAAAATGTATGGCTATTGCCTCGGCAATGCAAAGAAGATGTAGTCTAATTGTCTTAGGAAGGCTTCTACTTACCTTGTAGATGACTTTGAACGCAGAGTCTGTCTTGATTGAGTGACCTGTGTTCACAAGGTGTTCGATTATAGAACTTCTTATTGAGCCGCTGCCTCCTCTCCTTAGCCACGCCGGACAATGTTCTTGAATTCTTTTGGATAAAGTACGCAGTCATGCTGAGCTACTCTTACCCGATGAATATCTAAGCCATTAACTATCAAACTTTCCTTGTTTTTAAAAATTTTTTTTTCTAATACCTTTGTTTATTTAACCTCACCGTCACCATGTATAACATAAGTTTATTATCAGTATTATTATCACCCTGTAAAAATAAGTATATATATTTGCGATTGTACAGCTTTGAAAATGAATTCGCCGAAAAGAGAACTCTTCGCTGAACTAATCTTTCTTTCTTACCTTTCTGTATGACAAATACTTTCATAAATACTGCTTTTTAGGTTAGATTGTAGCTGGCAGTGAAATCCAGGAAACTGATTTCGTTCCATATAGTGGTCATCAACTAAATGTATCTACCAATTAGTGCCTACATTCCTATCCTCACCAGAATCTAGTACATAGTGAACGAGAACACAAGTGTGGAGTATCAAGTTTTTCTGGAAGCACAATCACATAACGGTATAGTTAATTGTGAAAATCAGACATGAAATATATCATTTACACATCATCTTTAAGTTGTCTCTTACAAGCTTCCTTGCTCCTTCATTCGTGTTGTTATCTTGATTACTTTCAGTTTCCTTCTCTCTCCTCTTTTGCTTGAGTCGAGACATCACCTACATTGTGAGACTGAAATAAATTAATTTTTGTAATGGATTAGCTCTTCCGTTGATATTAAGGACTACATTTCATCAATAAATTTTTGGTGAATTCTCATCCTGAGCTGACTGTCTTTATATTACCATTAAAACAATATGACTTAATGAAAATATAGAGGCATTCAGCTACGAATCTACATATACCAAAGAAGACTGATCGATTGTTATATTCAATATTAAGTGTAAAACTCAAACCATTATAAAACGTTACGCATTATGGAAAATTAGCATTAATATGCACATGTGACAGATTTTAAAAATCAAAATTTCTCAATAATTCGTGTATAATTTAACCCTATAACCAAGAGATTTTACTCTATTTATTTCCGTAGGTGTTTTTTCTCCCTGGAAGTAATACTGATACAGAAATTCGACTACCAAGTAAAAATCAATATGAGTACAGATCTCCGCACTATGACGAACAAGTATCAAGTATGGTTTCAAATGAACAGTCCACAGCTAAGTCAACTAGTTCACCTAATGGGCAAGTAATAAGTCGACCTGGTCTAGATCTCACAGTCTTACATATGAAAAATAACACAAAAAATGATGAACCTTGCCTCTCACCAGCAATTGTTGTAAGGTCTGTTAATGGTAGTATGATTAATTCTAAGCACACTGAAATTTCAAGTTGTTCACAATGTACAACTTCAACTGAAGTATCATCCAAATTCATTGATACTATTAATCCAATTGCCTTAACTCAACAAACAGATAATATGGAACATTTAAATGCAAATGTATCTGAAGTAAATAGATCTAGTTCCAGAGCACGAAACATAGTCCGCAGTCTATCGAACTCACTTAAACGTTCTCTATCTACTGGCATTCAAAATACACGAAGTTTAGTTAAATCAATACCAGGAAGGTCCAAAGAAACGGAATCAGCTAATCAACTCAATAAATTACGTACATCGACCAATAATGATTTATTAGTAGACACTTCAAAACAAGACAAAGAGTTTAAAAACAATCACGAACTCATTGAGCCAAAATCAAAGCAAAGTAAATTTCTTCATGCAATAAGTTTTGTTTACAAACATGAAGTTGTTTATTTTATTTAATATTTAGGTTTTGAAAAACAAATTTGTTTTTTATGGTAACTAACCAAAGTGCTTAAATCTGAATTTCTTTTTAGAATAATTTTGCATCAATCGTCACATTAATTTCGATAAGTGGTAGTTATAAACCTGGATCATACCAAAAAAGTGATTGAAGTTAAGATTCAAAAAGGTATGAAATGAAATCGATAGAAAAATCGTTCACAACTATTATAATAACATGATAAAATATAATTTGTAATATGGTGGCAATAATAAAAAACAAACAAACTGACTATGAAAACACTTTACTTACTTACTTACATACTTACGCCTGTTATTCCTTGTGAAGAAACATAGGCCGTTCACCAGCATTCTCCATCCAACCCTGTCCTGGGCAATCCTTCCAGCTCCTTCCAGTTGTTATTCATCCTTTTTATATCTGCTTCTATTTACCGACGTAATGTGTTCTTTGGCCTACCTTCTTTACCGCTTCCCTTCAGCATTCTAAGTTAGGGCTTGTCTCATGATGCAGTTTGACGATTTGCATAATGTATGTCCTATTCAATTCCATCGTCTTTTTCTAATTTCCTCTTCGGCTGGAAGCTGGTTTTATTTCTCCCACAGTAGGCTGTTGTTGATGCTATCCAGTCAACGGATATTGAGTATCTTGTGTATACAACTATTTATAAATACTTGTACGTTCTTGATGGTGGTTGTTGTAGTTCTCCAAGTTTCAGCTCCATAATGTAGAACTGCCTTGACGTTGGTGTAGAAGATTCTCACTTTGATATTGGTTGAAAGTTGTTTTGAGTTCCATATGTTCTTCAATTGTAGGAATGCGACCCTTGTTTTCCCGATCCTTGCCTTTACGTCTGCACCTGAACCTCCTTGTTCATCGACGATGCTTCTCAGGTATGTGAAGGATTTAACACCGTACAGAGTTTCGCCATCAAGTGTGATTGGATTGCTGTCCCCCGTATTTTATTTGAGGACCTTGGTTTTCCCCTTATGTATGTTGAGGCCTACTAATGCAGAGACTGCTGCTGCTACATTGATTGTCTTAATGTGCATTTGTTCGTGTGTATGAGATAGGAGATCTAGGTCATCTGCGAAGTCCAAATCGTTTAATTGGTCCTGAGTTGTCCATTGTATTCCGTGTTTTCCCTCAGATGTCGAGGTCTTCATAACCCAGTCGACCACCAGAAGAAAGAGGAAGGGAGAGAGTAGACAGGCTTGTCTGACTCTGGTCCTTACTTGGAATGTATCTGTCAGCTGTTCTTCATTCATGACCTTGCACTGTAGTTCGTCATATGAGTTCCCGATAATGTTGACAATCTTCTCAGGATTTCCATAGTTTCGAAGAAATTCCCATAACGTTCTCCTATCTACACTGTCAAATGCCTTTTCATAATCAATGAAGTTGATGTACAGTGTTGAATTCCACTCAATTGATTGTTCAACGATGATCCGTAGTGTCGCAATTTGGTCTGTGCAAGACCGATCCTTACGGAATTCAGCTTGTTGACCTCGAATTTGGGCGTCTACTGCATTTTTCATCCGGTTCAGCCACACTCTGTTAAAGACTTTCCCTGTTACTGATAGTGGTGTGATGCCTCTGTAGTTTTTACATTTGCTCAGATCTCCTTTCTTTGGAATCTTGATGAGGTGGCCTCGTGAGTTCTAAAGGCACTTGGCATTCATTAATAGGTGTCATAGTTCTTCTAAATGAAGACCTTTTAACTCCCAGGTCAGAGTTTAAATGGTTTGATTTATTTTTCCTGGTTAGCGTATTTTTAACGAGTTAGTTTTCTACGGGATGGGGTCGCTAACCCCATGCCCAACCCTCCTCCTTTAGCCGGGCTTGGGACCGGTAGTAACTGTAGAAGAGCTACAGGTGGAGTTAATTGTACATAAATAGTACAGCATACAGATTAGCTTAAAAATAAATTTTAACAATATTTTAACTGATGCCTAAATTTATAAATCGTCCTATACAAGAACGAAACAACCATCTAGCGCTTCCAGGTTTTCCATGGTAGTCTAGTTTTAATTGACTCATATATTCAATTATTACATTCCACCTCTTTTTCTATTGGACATACATATATGTTTAGCTTAATGATCACAATCATCTAGAATTGTTTTGTGTATATGTACTAGTATAAGTAATCCTATATCACAGTAGGCAATGAATTTTAATTAAAATTTTGAACATTTCACAACATGAATAATATAAATTAATTTATGAATTAGATTTACATTAAGTGAGGTTAACAAGCAAATTTATTTTTATACGAATATTTACTTGCACAAAATATATGAATTTACAAGTATGATATACTGATGGCCTTGAGTTAACCAATCAGAATTAAGATAACCGTTTGTGTATTTTGTGCAAAATTTTAAGTGTAATAATAGATAACTTGTATAGTATTATTAATTAGAATTGTGGGAATCAATCAACTAGAACGTGAATTCAAGGTAGTGCTCAAACTAAAATAAATGAAAAAAAGCATCTGCTCACAAGGCAAATTGTTTGTTCAAGTGCTTAATGTGATTCAATGAGTTATCAAGAATATTTAGTGATGCTAGATAATATTCTTTCTTTCTAACTCTTTTTCTAAATCTCGACCCTTAGTTTTTTAAGTTGGCAAACAGAAGAATGGTAAAACATTTGATTATAACTGATGAAAACCTCAGTACTAATTCGTAAGTCCAACCCAAAACCGATGCCAATTGGTGACGAGAACTCAATGGTGTGATAACTCTAACTTAAAATACTATCCCGACTCCTGATATGTAAACTGACCTTTTACCCTTACTAAAAATAATCATTTGGGATGTGAGTAGTAATCGTTAAGATTAAAGGAGTTATTGTTCTGTTATTTTATGACTATTTATTGACAATTCGTTTATAACTATGGAGTGTTTCCTCATTGGCTGATAAGTCTCCTACATGGTCACAGTATATTATACTTATGTCCAATTTTATATAAATTATAACAGCTTATTAATTATAGAAATAACAAATAATCGAGTTGCTAAATTAAGTAACTTCTAATAAATGTCCATTGATCATGAACAACATAAATAAATGCACTTTTAGCATCTCATATGACATGAGAATATATGAAAGCTACCGATTAATGGTTAGTCTAACCTAAGCATAATATACTCACGTTATTAGTTTAATTTAGAACAAAATATTTTTTTCCAATATAAAACAAAGCATAAGTTCACTGAAGCAGTAATCGTGTAGTCGTAATGTATAAAGTTTAGAGTGTACAAATGGAACATATCTAATTAGTTATCCTTAACTCAAGTAATATTGTAGTTTATAATTCAGTGATAGGTTAAATTAAACGTTAAGTACTAAACTAATTTCTCAGTAAATATAGAATGATCAATTCTCTTTACTTTATACTAATATATTTTAAATTTAGTAATGGGTTATATGTATAAATTTGGTGTTTGGGATGATCAACAGCCAGTTTTAGATCCACGTTTACCTGTATTCTTGAATTCGTCTATTGAGAATAATTCAAATTTAAATGGTACCGTTATTCCTACTGCACCCGAATGGCATCATGAAGAAGTTGGTTTAGAAAATATAGAAAAATTCCAAGGAGCTTATGTCCGTGGTCGTACAGTTGCTTGTTTGCAAAGATTTACACAACATAGTTCAGCTAGTGGTAAAGCATTGCATAGGAGTACTTATGTACAACAAACAAGACTAGTTCGTACAGGTATGTATATTTTATGTAAGCTAAGTATTCTAATTCTATTCATTAAGTTTATTAGTTTTGCCAGTGTAAAATTTAACTTCTTTACAGGAATATTTAGTACTTTATTTAATTTTTTATTTATTTCATGGAGTAACTTCATCTGGAGAACATAAAATTATGAAATCCATAGACAGTTGTTTAGTCCCTAAAGTCAAACCTAACAGATTTCTGATCTTAAACCTTCAGATCATACGGAGAGCAATTATCTTCTCTAAAACACAGATTGGAAATTTAGTAGTTCGTATTTCCATCTCCAACCACTTCATGTTGAAAATTATCTAGTGTTTTCCTAGATGTCTGTTTCACCACCAAGATAAATGAATTTTGAATTGATGATAAGACCTGGTGGAACATCAAAAAGTGTTAATGAGAAACTAACTACACATAGTCAATGCACACATATTTTGAGCTTTATCTCAATACAACATAAGAGAAAATTATTCAAATACTTGGCCCAAAGAACCAAAATTATCTGTTCTAATGACACTGTTGAAGAGGAAATACGACTTATTCATAATTTATTTAGTAAACACGAGTACGTATCATAATCCTAAATCAAACATGTATCTGGAACAAAAACTAAAATTAAGACTACTGACGATGCTGAACAGACCTTTGCATCTAAAATTATATTTTAAAGGTGATGTAACAGTCTAAATAGTCATTCGATATATATGGAAAGTAGTAGGACATACATTTTATATAGTAAGATTAACTCTCTCTTCAACCAGCCAACAGTAAATTCACAAAAGAATGAAAATCGCCTATTTTGTTATGCTTCCAGTAGTTTCTATCATTTAACTAGATAAAGACATTATTGTATTACGAATCATCTGTAGTATCGGTTGCTATGTCAAGCCCACATAGCTACCGGACAGGCTAATTTATTCATTCTTCTTGAGTCATATTTCGACCTTGTTCATTATTCGCATATCAACCTTGGTAGTTTTATATAAGCGTATTTGTGTGCCTTGCTTATCCTACTCATAACGTATCTGTAATTTATTTTCATCTGACTATAAATATCGATTAATGCTTGATTAAATCGTGTTGGCGTACTCGCTTTCCCAATTGAGTGTCATTTCGTTTTGTTTCGCTTTCCGATCAACGATTGGAAGAAATACACGTATTTGGAATCCATTCTCATATTTAACTTAATTCCATTATTAACTAACGCGATTTAGGTCGATAATTTCATACGAGGATTAGCGATACGTATATTTTAATAACAATCGTTCATACGATCGAACTGAAGTCAGATCTCGGGCCGTTAAACATCGCTCCTCAAGGTTGACTAACGATTAAAGAAACAGTAAGAAGCTCCATTTTGACTACGGAATATTCTCAATAAAGATGCTTCCATACGACGTCATATACAACTTATGATAATCATATTGTTCTTTATTCTCTGTAGATGATTATACATATGGTAGGAAATATATAATGATATATATTTGATACGTTGCAAACCTAAAGATATGATACTGACATAATTCTTCAAAATACATAAGAATTTCTCTTTACACTGTTTTTTTCAACGAAACTGCTAAGTGTGGGTACAATAGAGTTTAAAAGAAAAATAACATTATAGATAAATATCTAACCCTAGAGGAAACAAGATCGTCATCAACATAAAAATACAAACACAGTAAGCTAAAAAGTGAAGTTGCTATTCATATCCAAACTCCTGAAAAAGTTACCACTGAATAGTTTATCATAAATAAATTCCATAAATTAGCTCTGGTTTTAGAAATGTTTTATTGAGAATATATATATTTTAGGGACGACTAACTTGGTGGCTAAGATGTCAAGATGTTTAGTATGAATTTGTCTTTATAAGTAAAAATAATACATTTGTGACATGTGAATAAATGTAAAAGTTAGATTTTTTGACGTTTTGTGACTCAGTGTAAGTGACTTCCTAAGAAAATAAGGGTTATTATTCAAGAATGAAAGTTGGATAGTATAGCAACTCACGTGCAATCGAGTTTGTTCTCATTTAACTCAGTTAAGCCTTTTTGTTAACTTATTTAGCGGACAAAATCATCCTTACTATGACAACTTATTGTACATTTATTATTGTTGTGCTTGTATGAAATATGTATGCTTGAACATTGCTTACCGCCTATGCATATATTCATTCTGCTAGTTTTATTATTCGCTGCTTAATTGATTCGATGATCCATTCATCTTCCTATATATATACATGTACATTTAATACTCTACACTCTCGGTTCGCTGATTCACTCATTTGCATCTCTGCTTTGTGGTCGGAGTTATCTGCTAATAAACCTGTAGTCGCTGCTTATCCTTTGCCTTCTGATTTTCAACACCGTTGAGGATTATATGGTTACGGTTACGAGGGTGATCGGTTAACGAAGCACAGCCTTTACAGGACTCGTAACCTCGACTTGCGAACAGGAAACGACTTTCGACGATATAGTCAAATTCCCAAAACTCAACTCACTTCGTCTCAATTTGGATTATCACATGGACTTTAATCATAACTGTGGATTTATTATATTACTATTCTAATTACACGTATATTATTTCACAAACATTATTGAACGTAACGATAATAATCATAATAAGTAACGATTATTCACAAACAATTGATATATTGGTGCAATTTAGTAAGTCTGTTCCATGTTATAAATTGTACCATTTGTTATTATCATTGTTTTTGTCCGTCCATTTTTCTTTATGACAGTTACATTACATTCGTGTGCTATTTAAATTTTTTATAAGTATGTCTTCCGAAAACACTGTCAAGTTTACAGCAAACCCCGTCCGTGAAGTCTTAATCTTACTGTCCCCTCTTTTAAAGTCACCGACCCAAAGCTTTAGTATATTAGACTTGAAGATTATTTTCTGACTAACCTCATTAACTTACAAAGAGATAAGTTCGGCCTCACAAGCACACTCCTTCCAGATGAAGTAGCAGAGAGCGTACGAGAGGCGTTAGCGAAACCAGACAGTGAAAAGGCATAAGACGTGCTAAAGCAAGCAGCAATTAAAACTCTCTCTAAGTGATCAACAAGCTGTTGAGCAGCTTCTTAATCAAGTACAACTGGAAGATAGGACTCAGCCACAGCTAAAACCGTATATGAAAAGTCTGCTGGGCGATAGGCAAATAGACAATAACCTGTTTTATGAACTATGGCTTCGCCGACTTCCGTCAAATGTACAGCAGACCCTAGCCGTCGGAGATACGGATGCCGATATAGACAAAATAGAATATACGAAACAACCAAGCAAACAAGCCCCTCGTTACACAGCGTGACGATAGATGATAGAATTAGTACTCTACAGAAGGAGGTCAATGTTTTGTGGCGGAAGCTCACAGAATTAACACAGAGCGAAAAGCCACGAAGATCACGAGATCGCTCGCGCGACAGAAACCGATCAGCTTTTAGACGGCTCACAGCTCCCTTGATATCATCAAATGTACGGCTATAGAGCTAGGAAGTATTTACAACCTTGTAGATCAAGCATAACAGGTAAGCGATACCCACGGTTGTCAATGGCGGTGGCATCAACGAACATAATGCCTGCAAACAGTCGCCTGTTTTATATACAAGACTGAATGATAGGCGCGCAATTCTTAGTTAATACTGGAGCGGAAATCAGCTTAGAACCGCCAGTAAGCGAGGAGGGAAGAAACGTTAATGGGTCACTAGTACTCAGAGCAGCAAACAAATCCGATATCAAGAAACACGAAAACAAAAATTGTCTTTAGATTTCGGACGAGGCGCTTCGTACCGCTGTGACTTTGTCATAGCAGACGCATCAGTGCCCATAATAGGTATCGATTTTCTATTTAACTTCTATCTACTAGTAGACTCGCGGCGTCACAAACCTATAAATGGTAGTCACACCACTTCGATAAGAGGAACACTTACAGAAGCCGTTTCCATGAATCTAGTGAAAGATAAAAGCCGCGGTGATCCATATAAATTGTTGTCAAAGGAATTTCCCGAACTTGTGAAAGTAACGTACAATGAGGCGGATCTCAAACACTCCATTCGGCACCACATCATAACGAGTGGGCCACCAATCAATGCAAGGCCAAGAAGGTTAGACTCCAAAAGACTAGCAATTGCAAAACAAGAATTCGACAAATTGATGAGGCTGGGCATTGTAAGGCCTTCGAACAGCCCATAGGCATCCCTATTACGCATGGTCCCGAAAAAGAATGGAGAAGTTAGGCCATGTGGAGACTACCGAGCACTCAAAAAGCAAACAGTAGCTGATAGATATCCTGTACCACATATCCACGATTTTACATACAGTATGGAAGACGCTACTGTCCTCTCGAAGATCGACTTAATTAGAGCATACTATCACATTCCTGTGGCTCCACAAGACATACCAAAGACAGCGGTAACGATTCCATTTGGGCTATATGAATTTCTACGCATGCCCTTCGGACTGACCAACGCAGTGAAAACCTTTCAACCGTTTATCGACCAGGTCATCAGAGGTTTTCCTGGAATATACGCATATATCGATGATTTACTAGTAGCCAGCGCCACTATGGATGAGCATATACAACAGCTACGACAATTATTCATGCGACTGCGAGAACATGGCATTTCCATAAACATTGAGAAGTGTGAATTTGGAAAGCAGTCCTTACAGTTCCTAGGTCACATTGTAACTTCTCAAGGCGTTGCATCAATAGCAACAGAAGTCGACGCAATCAGAAATTACCCGCTACCCGACTCATGGAAGAAATAACGATGATTTCCCGGGTTAGTAAATTATTACAGACGATTTATTTCGCATTGTGCGGCAATGCTGCAACCATTAACGGATGCGTTATGGGGACACACCCGGACATTCCACTTATCACCAGAGTCGATACAAGCATTCGAGCACGCCAAGAAGGCACTAAACAAAGAAACGACACTAACTAGACGAAAGGGCGAAACATCATTAGCTATCGTAACGGATGCATCGTATGTGGCGGTAGGAGCCGTTTTACAACAATCAGTATAGGGCACATGGGAACCTCGAAAAGACTGAATCCGACACAAACAAGATATAGTACTTTCGGAAGAGAACTGCTAGCAATTTACTTAGCAATAAAACATTTTAGTCATATGGTGGAAGGCATAAATTTTACCGTTTACACAGACCACAGAGGGAGATCCGACAGTTGGAGTTCATTTCACAGTTCACCTCCGATATACGATACATTAAAGGACAAGAAAAAGACGTGGCTGACGCACTGTCAAGAGCGACGATAAACACACTTATTGCAAGTGGAATCGATTATAACAATCTGGTAAAGTTTCAAGAGAGAGACATTGAATTAAATAAGCTCAGATCCGATGGTACGACATCATTAGTGTTCGAAGAAGTGCGGTTCGGTAACACGAAAGTAATGTGAGATACATCGACAGGCCGACCGCGACCATTTATCCCGAAATCATTGCGACACAAAATATTTGAGAGTATGCACATGTCGCATCCAGGAATAAAAGCCACGATAAAGCCGATCAGTGAACGATTCGTATGGAGAAACATGAATCACGATGTGCGTAATCGGACGCAAGCATGCATGAAGTGTCAAGAAGTCAAAGTACATCATCATACTAGCTCCGCAATGGGTCCATTTTCACATCGACACTAGATTTGAACATAAACACATCGATATTGTAGGACCACTGCCCGTTTCGAATGGATACAATTATATCTTTACATGCATCGACAGGTTTACACGATGGCCGGTAGCAGTGCTGAAAAAAGACACCTCAGCCGAATCGGTAGCCAAAACCCTAGTTGAAAGTTGTATTTCTTATTACGGCTTACCAACGATTATCACAACTGATAGAGGAGCACAGTTCGAAAGTCAACTCTCTGAACAGCTTACAGAACTCCTCGGTATTAAAGTAATTCGTACGACACCTTACCATGCAATGGCAAACGGAATGGTCGAACGCCTACATAGGCAATTAAAAGCGTCCCTTAAATCCGTCATTGTTAACAACGATTGGGCCAATAAGCTTCCGCTAATAATGTAAGCTCTAAGAGCAACAATTAAACAGGACATGGGATGTTGCCCAGCCGAGTTAGTATACGGAGGTACTCTACAGTTACCCGGAGAAAGTTTCTCTTCAAGTAAATGTGTTCCGACTGATGTAACCAACTATGTACAACGCCTGAGAAAACGCATGAACGATTTAAAAATAATACTTCCCAGACCACAACAACGACGAGTATTCATACCACAGGGACTGCATAACAGCATTCACGTATTCATTAGAAGAGATAAAGTACAACCACCTATACAATCGAGTTACGGCGACACATTTAAAGTGATAGCGAGGACAGATAAAACGGTTACCATAGAAAAAGCTGGGAAGACAGATGTAATTAGCATCGATCGAGTGAAACCAGCTTTCATCGATAGCGATATTCAATCAACAAGTACAAACTCCTCGAAGATGGTCACACCAACAAAACACGAGTCTCAAGAATCAACGACGCTAACGCAGCAAAAAGACGAAACTCCGGCAACAACAAGATCTGGCCTCAGAGCAAGATGGTCTCAATGCTATGTCGCTACAATTTCCTATTGATAATTTTCTACTACCTGAAATATTCATCGTAACTCTTCCACTTCGTTGTATATATAGATCATTAAGCTCATGTTACACACTAAAACTCAGCATATCTTATGTACCTTTACGCTTATATGTATAATTTTTAAGAAAAAAAACGATACCACATTCCTTCTGTTTTGAGTTTTATTTTACATAACCTCACGGACAGGCACGAACCAAATGCACAGCACACGCTAGCTTCATCCTAATTTTGTATAATCCCATTTCTTGAAACGACTGTAACTACTCTATTCAGTTTACTATTCTTTGTGCAACACAGATATTTTTACCATATATCTTTGTTTGCAAGGGGGGAGCTATTATAAAAACTTACGTGCAATCGAGTTTGTTCTCATTAACTCAGTTAAGCCTTTTTGTTAACTTATTTAGCGGACAAAATCATCCTTACTATGACAACTTATTGTACATTTATTATTGTTGTGCTTGTATGAAATATGTATGCTTGAACATTGCTTACCGCCTATGCATATATTCATTCTGCTAGTTTTATTATTAGCTGCTTAATTGATTCGATGATCCATTCATCTTCCTATATATATACATGTACATTTAATACTCTACACTCTCGGTTCGCTGATTCACTCATTTGCATCTCTGCTTTGTGGTCGGAGTTATCTGCTAATAAACCTGTAGTCGCTGCTTATCCTTTGCCTTCTGATTTTCAACACCGTTGAGGATTATATGGTTACGGTTACGAGGGTGATTGGTTAACGAGGCACAGCCACTGCAATAGTATAGGGACTGAATAAAAAATTAAGTGATTTGTTTTATATATTGGCAATTAATTTAATTACTATAAATAAGAAATATGTATTCATATGAAGTATTCAGTAATTAGTTATAACAATCAGTGAACAATATCTGTCGTTCTCAAGGAAATTGGCATTTAAATCATATGTAAGCAACTCACATATTAGTCTGCTGTATCGATAAAATGCCATTTAGTCAATATGCAATAATTCTGTCACTTGATATCTCCAAAATTTTTCAAATGAGATTATTTTACAATGGTATTCAATAGCAGTTTGATCATATTCAATTTTCGCCTATGGTCACTGATGAGAAAGATTATGACAATACATAGTAGTTAATAAATAATATTAACATTACCATTATTCGTCACTTTCATCAAAAATATTCTTCTTTCCTTTTTGTAATCAGCTTAATCGAAGCGGCGAAAAGAAGAAAGGAGATACTCTAAGTGGACTAGATGAAGATCTCCAAGGTAAAGGGTGTGAACAAGAGGAACATACCTTTAGCTCGACTCCAATACATCTTACTGATCCATTTTTATTTGATAGTGAACAGTTAACCAAGTAATTTACCGGTTTTTTGACATTTTTAGCTGACATATAGTCTTATGTTACACGCTTAACGTTGTTGTCAAAGGTTGTTATGACTAAAAAAACTTAGACTCTATTGATGAACCTAACTCTCTTGAATATACTCACGTGACTTTTTACAACATTATCCTCTTAATTTAATCAAGTCATTATCCTTCGATAATTCAGCAAGCTGATTACAAGAACTACTATAACTTTTAATCTATTTTTAATGGTTTAGATTATTCCGTTGAAATTTGGTCAATCTTAGTTGAAAAATGTGAATCCTGTGCGAAATATAGCTAACAGCGGGTGATCAACTATGTGAATTCAGTAGTTAAGTGAACAAGGTATTATCATTTAAAGCGCAAAGTACTGGGTCCGAGCCCCTCAGTGAACACTAGTTATTGAGATAAAAAAAGAACATCCAGATGAAGAGTCTCAAACAGAACAAAACACTTGTTCTGTATTCCACTATCCTTTTCAATATACTGTGATTTTTGTTAATAAACGACAATAGGTTTACGGATTATTTAGAAATATATGATCTTCAATAAACATTAGGATTTTTAAGAGATACTAACAATTGATTATTGATATGATCTCAAATTCAATTCTCATTGAAAAAAATAAACAAAATCAATTGTTTTAATAAAAAGGGACCAACCCAATTCAATCAAATACTTTTACGGTTTTATCAATTGAAATTTCTAATAAAAAAAATAATAATAATACATGCTCGATTGAACTGAAACAAACATTAACCATTAGAATTGATTGTTTCACGCTAAAATTAGAAACATAACTCATTTATCATTCATGAAGTATAATACTCAGAATTATTGATTTTGTTTCTATGGGTTTATTTTGTGTGAAATGATAACAGTTTTTACATTGGTATATAAGAAATTCAATATTGAAATAATTCAATGTATAGTGATTACAATTAACTGAATACTTTTGAATGATATAAATTAGTAAAATAAAACGGAATTATTGTGATCTGTTTGTTGTTAAGAGGCAAAATGTTTCATAGATTTAGATGATCTATTGGTGATTTCCGTTTTGTTGTTAGTATTTCTCTTCAGAAACTAAAGGAATAATTATGGTACAATATTTTCTTTTTTTTAAATGCTCCAGAACTTTTTATACTCTCGATATTAGTATTGATATGTTGATTGAACCTCTCATTTCTGAGGTGACAAATATTACCTGACTTTCTTACCTTATCTGCTGGGAATAAATCTAGTCCACGATTATATAATTTGAATGTTTACAGGATTACTGTCTACAGAAGCCCAGTGGTAACGTCTCTGATTGTGAAGCTGGGTGACATGGGATCGAATCCGTCAGGGAGCACCAGTTCCCTCAAGATTACAGGTACACCTAGCTGACGAGTGGCAAATAGCACGAAACCCGGGTACAGGGTTTCCTGTTGTTGCAGGAGCCTTTATTTTTTACATTATTCACACCGGGCTAGATTGAACTAAATTAATTATAAGTGAAAATAAAATTGGGAATGTCTATGTTAAAATTCGAAGCATTTTGATCGTATGTGTGTGCAAAACGCAATATATACATATATCAGAATTAGTGGTTTTACCAATGTGTTTTAGTTCAGTTATATTAAATTGCTGGGTGCTTTGTGACTATTTTACAGCATTCTGTGACCAGTTTATTTCTCTGGATAACCTATTTTTCAGCTTTTCAAATATTACAGTTTGATTTCTTACCTAAGGTTTGTATTAACTGACTAGCTATACATATCACCTGCTTTTTTTATTCCCATGACAATTTTTAAGGCTTACAATCTATCAGAATTTAGAGCGCTGAGAAACCTAAAAGTGTATACTTCAAAAATGGAAGGTTTCTTTTGCTCATTCTATTTTGTTCGAAAAACCCAAATATATTAGAATGTTTGTATGTAAAGAGAAATTCAGGTACACGTGGCTCTCTTAACCAGAATAGATCACCTAGTGATTACAACCTCTGTAATAATACAATGGATCGAAATTAGTTTTGATTCAGATTAGTGAAAGATAATCACTGTGGCAGCAATTGTTTTCATATATCGTTCAACGTTTACAATGAAAGTGTGTATTGTTAAACAACACCGTTATATTACTTCAGATTTTGTGTTGAAATTTTCCAAATGGATTTATGACTCTTTACTACTTTGACATAAATTTACCAATTATAACACCATCTACGTATTGTTCGTTACCTCATTATGAATACTTGATCATTACCTCGTAATAATCTTAAACGTTACCATACAGTCATGGTGGAATATTGACCGAATTAACACAATTCTTTGCTTATTCTATCATTTTCTAACGATCATAAAAAATGATATTTACTCATTATATATGTATCATGAAATATTACTAGATATGAAATGAAACCAGACGATAATATTCAGTCAACATCTGCAAAGTTTATTCAGTGTTCAAATGATCGCCTACAATTGTTACAATCGATTTGTCCATCCGCAGCTGCTGCAACAATTCTGTTGGGTAAACCTATACGTGATCCACACGATAATGATGATGTCAAACGAAATATTTTGACTAAATCTAATAACCTTGATGAGACTCGTGTTCTGGTAACAGCGAACTCATGGTGCCCAGTGTCATTAAGAACAAAAGATCCTGAATCACAGTTAATATTCAATCCCATTTATAAGGATAATAATAGCAATACTCCTACAAAAACAAATACACCAAAACATTCACCGTCGGTAAGCGAAATGTATTTTTAAGTAAACGTGGTAGTTTATCCACAATCTTCATATTAGTGAACCACTTTTGAAACTAATTATGCACTCATCAGTAACTGTCATTTTTTCAAACCTTAGTATCGATTAAATTCCTGAAAACCATACAAAGTTATACAAAGTTGATGAAGGGTTTTGGGACATAATATTATTAATAATAAAAAAATATGAAGATTTATCACTAAGATCTAAATAGTAAAATCATGGAAACTGCTAAATGATTAATTACTATAAACACCTCAGTTAATCTTTCCTCTTGTAGCTTAATGGTAACGTTTCTAGTTATGACACTGAATGATAATGTTTCGAATAACATATAGAACATCAGTCACATCAAAATAATAGATGAGTTCAGATGACAAGTGTTGAGTAACCTATATATGAAACTGCTTTTCTACCCAAAGTCGCAGTGTTTTGTACTAAGGATACTTTGATAATAAATAGTATTTCAACAATACTAAAAGGATAACAGTTCTTCAAAAGTATGAAGTATGTATTTAAACGAAATGTAGTTACTAAACAAAATAATTAGTTTTCATAGTCTGTTTAAGTAGCATAATTGCACCGTATTAATCCAATTCAATCTTATCAAATCATATATTCTATTCAATGTATTTGAAAAATGAATCACTTCATTGTAATATGCGATTAATCAGGAAATAGGATCAAAAGAAGTGAAATACAATTCGAAGTCACATAGGCTTTTAAGATGAAGAGCAGATAAACTAGACAGCCTTCTTTATTTGGTATATTTATCATCATCAGAGAAAATGGTTTGTTCATATATTCTTTTTCTAGTAAGCTTGTATGAACAAAACAGTATCACAGTTTTCACAATTACTGTCCAATTAAATAAAAACAAGATATACTAAATACGCAGTAAATAGAATCGGCCACATCGACGCAAACGAAGCAAAATGTTGTCATAAAATGAAACACTGGAAATACTAAAAACTACTTTTCATTTATACGTTTAAAAATATTTTTTGTATCATAGGAGATTGAATATATTTGAGATAAAAGCTTAAATTGATCGATTAAACCTTTTATAGATCTATGTGTTTATCAAACATGAAATAACGAAATCTACGCATCACCAAAAATTCGAATAGAATGAAGACACATAGATCGCTTTCTATTATGTTTATCAATTTACCTGTGTATGTGAAAACACGTATACATGAAGAAACATTTCACATGAATCATTAATTTTAGTTGAACATGTACTTAAAATATTTAAGTTTCAATAATCCATGAAAACCTGATGTTCATTCGTCTATCGTTAAATAGAAATTAAAAGGTTAAAGAAATTGCATAAAATATAATACAATTTACGCCTAATACTATCAGCAAATAGGTGTTTCAATCACAACTTGATAGACTCAACGCAATTTCTACTAACTTTCAAGCTTTAAAATAATGTACTTAATTTCAATAGTTTTCTAATACCACTGAGTGTAAAGTGGTTTAATTCCCGTCAACAGAACACTAAACTCATAATAAATAACATTTTTACTATTTTCATAATATTTTTAGTCTGTGAGCGTACCAGAACCTACGATACGCGGTGGAACACTTGATGGATTGCTTATATATGCATTGAATTTATTACAGATGCCTATACCAAGTATGTTTTACGTTCTCAAATCTAAATTATTCATTGTTTCAACAAATAATGATTTAGAAACCTTATTTATTCTATCTGTTGAAATAAATTATATGAAAGAATAGGTGATTATTACGTTAACCTAAAGTTTACATTAAAAATGAATCTTCTACTAAATTTTATTGCATTTAGTACCAAATGATATGTAAACATTGATACTTTGTAAACGAAATAATAAACATCGACTATAAGTACCGATAAATACTTAGTGGCCATTTAAGTGTTAAAGCTATAAACTGTTTAATACAGCTAAGTGCGTGTCAGACATTTAAGGCTTCATTTCAGTTAATGACTTCAAACATCTTTCTAATATCCATGATACTAATGCAAGAACATACTAATACGATTAAATAGTATGTATCACATTCAGTTTCATATTCTTCAGAACTGTAGATTTAATGCATCTTAATGTTTATTGTAATTCCCTTAATTCTTCCATCTTCACAACAAGATAAGACATCAACTTAACATAGACTTGCCTAGTTGTAGCGCATTTTATCTTATTAATAAACCATCGTGTATAATATCTACAAACAATATAAATTCAGATCAATACATTTCCCTTACTAAATAAATTACTTACTTATGCCTGTTACTCCCAATGGAGCATAGGCCACTGACCAGCATTCTCCAACCCACTCTGTCTTGGACCTACCTTTCTAGTTGTCTGTTTCAATACACTTTAGTTTTACAAAATTTGTCTTCACATAATCTATGCTTATTTAACAGAATAAATATGCTTAAATTGTAAAAAGGAAAACAAAAAAAACAGATTTGACAAAACTTTTACTAAAACTTAATTGTGAAAATTATTATTCAAAACAAAAAATAATCGTAAGACAGCATAAATTAATTCAATGTCAAACAAGGAGGCCAATTTATATCATTAATAAAAAAAAAGATCTAAACAGTACTGTTCCTAATGGTCTTTCATGTGGCTAGTTTTTTGGTGTTGTTTTGTTCTGAAAACACTTGAATGGTTTCATTATCAAAGACAACGATACGTTATTCAACACCATGTATTATATTATGTATAGATGATGTATGATTTACTGAGTTTCACATTCATTTTTTTTAAATATCGAACACTTACACAAACTAATTTACATGTCGGGATCTTTCAAACAAATGGTAATTAAGTATGTAAACGATTTGGTGATATAAAACTGTTCTAGATTGTGTTTTATGCTTATATTTTTATCAAATCAATATTGAATTTGAAACTTACGAATACTTGGATTTTTTCATTCAGATTTTGGTGAGACTATAATTTATGGACGACCTTTGGACGACGCCAAAGTGACCATGAAATTAGATTTAGGGTTTTCATCACCAATTGACATCAGATTTGATGTCAAAACGCTACTTGGCCTAAATGGTGAATGAATTTCCCGCCAAAACTCAAGATGCGTTATTTTATATCTGATTGGTTCGTCCGTAAATTATAGTCTCGCCGTTCCCATAACTTACTACCAAAATCTTCAGTGATAAAGGTTTGATCCATAGATTGTCGATTAATGCAAAGTAAATTGTAGTACTTGGAAAGTTGACTGTTCAGTAATATATTTCTATGATTTGTTCTAATGGATAGCGCTTTCAAGTTTACAGACGTGCAAAATAAAAAATAATGTTATTCTATTCTAATTTCAAAATCACGAATGATACAGTTAATTCAATTCGAAATAAAATATTGACCTCTAACATACGGAAATATACTCGTAACCAGAAGGTCAAAGGTTAGAAAGGAATTGATTTATTCATCTTGGTGACTTTGTAGTGGCTTTGCTTCGTTAACTAATTACCTTCGTAACCTTCATTATATGAATCTCAATGGTGTTTGAAATAAGAAGGCAACAGGAAGTAGCATCTAGAGTTTATTAGCGGATAACACAGACAGCAAATTTATAAGTATATCGAGTGAATTTGAAGCAGAGAGGTGAATTTGTGTGTATGCGAACAGTTACGGAGGCAAATTTGAGATCAAATGGAATAAGGCGCAGCGAGACAAGGCAAAGGCTAATGATAGGATTTGAGTGCATACATACCATGGGAAAGAAAATGATTCATCAAGCGATATTTAGGCTAGAGAGATATGTTAATAGACTGTCATGTGATCAAGCATACACGTTAACACAGACAAAATGGTGATCATTATAGTACAAAGAAATATGAGAATTGATCGTCGCTGCATCTCATACACAAAACTCTGTGGTTCACGGTCGTTTACTGTAATACTGACTGTTTCATGAGAGAAAATCAGTTTTTCACCGTATTAATAGAAGAATAGAGTAACCAAAGGGATATTCAATATCAATGATACTAGAAAAAAATATAAGTCTTCGTTATCATTTAGAGTTGTTAAAATCCAGGCTCGTATGCATGATTCCGTTTGTCAAACAGATTTTCCTGAGTTTCTCTTTCATATGATTCTTCAGACTTCGTCATCGGTTAAAATCATACCGGAGATGTAACTCTGTTTGATAAAGATACTAAACGCAGAGTATTGTGAACGCTTTCATCGATCTATGAAGAAATTAAAGTACATTTTTGTTGCTTTATTTGCAAAATGCTGTTTCAGGAGTGGTCTAAGCACAAATTATGGAGTATTTACGTACATAGATCCTTCAGTTTATCATGAAATGTAGAGCAAATCGATAGATATCATATTTTGTACCATTGCTACATCAACACGAAACATAATCTGGTTTTCGCTAAATAACTAGATGATTAAGTTATGACTCATGTGCGAAAAATTTACCTATTTCAAACAACGTAATATCACAAACTAAAAAATTATCTGCATAACTAACAAATCTGTTTCCAGGATCCTCTGGTAATGACCACAAAAATTAGCGAACGTCTGAGTACAGAACCTCTACAGATGGGCCCAGGTACAGTAGAAATCGATCTTTATCTAATGATTGTACCGGATCATCGTAATATGTTGTTTAAACGAATAGCTTTTAACGTGATTACATTTTGATTTTTACTACTTTTTCTCCTATCAGTAACTAAGTGAGCAAAATAAAATAAACAATATAGGTCTTAATGAAGCACCAATAACGGTTATTTAAATCAACATAAATATTTTGTTTGCACAGTTAAAGGAGAACATCAACAAATAAAATTGAAAATAATAAAACCTAGTTTTTCCGCAAAAAGTCAAAATGTCACTTAAAACTACAGTTTAATATTCACTGTCGTTTTCCATTTTCAAGTGTTTTCATTTCGTCTAGTGACGAAGACCAGGAATGTTATGTTCAGATAACAAAAAGATTATTGACAGGATAAAATCAAACAACTACATATGGAGTTAAGGACTTGCCTTTAGGCCAAAAAATCTCTGTATACTAATCTTCTAAAAACGATTTTTCATGATTTGTAGTTTTCCACTAATGCATTATGACTCTAATATTAGTACTAAACACATTACCATCTATCATGTATCTAGAATTCTGTATAGATGCGCGTCTTCACTGTATGGAAAGAAAATGCATTTTCAAATACTTTAAATTGATGTGCGTGTCTGAACCATCTTCCATTGTCTGTGGTAGATAACTATCTCTACTGCTATGGAGTCCCATGCTAGGGAGAAACAGCTTCCCAGTGATTCTTATGCTTCAGTGGTTACTGAACCAAGCTCAGTGCGTGATAAAATGTATGAGAATTCAGAGATCTTCATAAATGTCTTAAAATATAGATAATTATGAATTGAAAATGAAATTGTGGCAATTAAGGAAAGACTACCATTACCAACAAGTGTTTACATGGGAAATATTAAATTTTCACAATTTTTGATTAGCACTGAGGTGAATTGTTCGATTAATTACTCTTGCATATTTTAAACATGCTTCGCAAAATCGTTTTTCAATTTATAGTCTAATCAAGTTGGGTCCATTAAATTGTTTAAATAATCAAATATCGACAAAAAAATTGGTTGGCAACACACTAGCGACTAATGTCATCCTTTTCTGGTCCATTGATGCTGATCAAACTTTGTGCATCAAGTCTCAATGTGTCTTCTAACCTACATGACTCAACATGCAAAACAGTATTTTTATATTTTAGGTGGCTTTAACTAGTCAGGAGAAAACTCCAGACCTAGGTTTCGTGCTAGTTAGTACTCGCCAGCAACTGTCATATGTGACTTTGAGGGAACTAAAGCTTCATGTGGGATTCGAACCCTAAATCTGCTGTTACGGCTTACCGATAAGTTTCAGCTTGTACTAAGTCCAGTTCAAGGTTTCCTCGTGGCATCAGGAATAAAAGTCGGCGGACATCTTCAATAATAGATAAATGTAATGCTTATTATTTAGACCGTTTTCCCTAGGTATGCTACCTAGAAAATAGTTTATTCCTAATACTCTTAAAAGAAACATACTTATTTTAGATTAAAACATACATATTATAAAATTAAGGAACGGTTCAGATTTCAGCTGTGAATACCACACATACAATCATCATGATCCTCATCATACACATGAACAGATTGTGCTAATTATTTACCGTCAGTAACTATCCATTAAATTCATATACTATCTTTTAAAGCCAGAACTACTAGTAAATCCTTCATTCTTTAATAACAGTTAATTTCCATAATGCAATGAAAAGATAAAGATTATCAGAATTGTATCAAGGAAACTTGTCAAAAGGACTGATTGTTTTAAATAAGAGTTAAATTAAAAAGCCATATGTATTGTCATTCAGTAATATAGACTTCCTTGTACTTTATATTCGTAGTCAATTTAATTTATTAAACTAATATAATTAAATTGTTTAAAACGTAATATTAACTTTCATGTATTTAAATATTATTCATAATTATGATCTACTTTTAGCTAGTCATCCAGATTATTTATTTCCTGATGTAATTCGTTTAACTTATCCAACATTTACAAGTCCTGATAAAATAATTGAACGTTTAATCCAAATCTATGTTGCATATGCTCCTGTTGAACCGGGTTGTCAAAGTAGTGATTGGATTGACGCTTTAGCTGCTGCAGATTATTTAGTTAGTATTGTAAGTTTATTTTGATTTATTTTAATAAATACATAAGTTTATATATATATATATAGTATTCGGTGTTTGAATGTAAACGTTTTGTTAGCCTATCTCAAGAATTGTCAGTAATTAACTTCGATAACATTGTAGTGTTTGATACTATTGTAGCGAACAAGAACACAGATGGGGACAACCAACAACGTTATAGAATATCTTGGTGAAATCTAAGGACCATACAATAATACTTGATTTGCAAAATATTCAGGCTGTGTTGTACTTTCGTTTCCATACCAATCACTCCCTATTCTCGTTTTCTTCTCTTTGACTTTCTCAATTTTCTGCTGCCAATCATCCCAGTTTCGATTGGTGATACATAATACTTATATCTGTCGACATCAGTAGCACACACCACATTATATCAAGCCCACATAAGTTATTCTAGCTTCCACATAGACCAGTTTTTTATTCTTCTTGAGTCACATTTTGAGCTTGTCAAGTTTTTTTAGTTTTAGATTTATTTTAACTGATTAATTGCACTTGTAAACCACTTGATAAACTGTAGAGCTTTTATAAATATAATTAGTGTTCAATTCAAACGGAGACATCATAGTTGTTTTACATATTTTCTTCTTCATGAACTTTTTCAAAAAATGTAATAAAATTCCATTGGTATTCGTACATTAAGTATGTTATGTAATGAAAAAAAATTGTGAAAAAGAACCAAGATCAGTTTTATAGACTTAGCTGACGAAGATAAAAACTAACTACTTCAGAAAAAAACAATGTTTTTCACATACAATTTAGATACTAACCTGATAAATAAATATTAGCGGAGAATTAATTGAAACATAATGTGTGTTTTAACTGTGAATTCATCCCTACTACAAAACATATGGTATTAAATAAAATGTTTAACAATCAATAAATTGATCTAGGCAAACTAAACATAATGTGAACATTTAATGATATTTTGATTGAGAAGTTTCTAGATGATAAGTTTAGTTTGTAAGTGGTTTTCTTCCATTAGATAGCCTTTTCAATACACTAGACAAATATTTATAAGTGTTAACTGATAAACCCTTCAAGGATAGAGTACAAGACTTTTAAATGTTAAGACATGCACTTGAAACTATATATCATTGATACGACTATTCGTCAAGATTAGAACGAATAGTTTGACAGTAATTGAGCGCCGAGTATAGAGAAGTCATTATATGTGAAAATTATATATTTGAAATATTCTCAGCGATTGAAATATAACTAATTCCAACGTTTCGTCCAGCTAACTTGTCTGGACTTCTTCAGGGAAGTCCAGACAAGTTAGCTGGACGAAACGTTGGAATTAGTTATATTTCAATCGCTGAGAATATTTCAAATATAATTTTCACATATATATATCATTGAATTGGGATTTATAGATAAACTTTTTTTTACACACTATGAAATCAGAGAGTCTTATTTGTGATCCCTGAATAAGTCATTGAAACGTGCTGCTAAGTCCAATGAAAGGAAAATACAGTTATCCGATGATTCCTGATTTTTAATAAATTTTACCAATCATATTTATATGTTGAGTAGCTTTTATATTTCATATCATGATGAAGAGACGTTAGATAGACCACATCTTTCAACTGATCTTTGAAGTTCAGAGATGATGTTGTTTTATTATCTGACCAACAGTGTAGCTTCGAATTATAAGTCAGTTAGTAATATTTAAGTAATGATAGTTTTTCTAAATAAGTTCACTCAGTTGAGTAGTTAGAATATAACTACCACTGAATAAAGAAACTTTGGGACAAAAATTGTTTTCAGTTACCTCTCAGTTACCCCTCATGGAGGGGTAACCAGTTTTAGTAAATTAACTTTCTTCTCCCATCCTATTTTATGCTTTTCTCTTACTGTATTGTGTTTTCTATCCTGGTCTACAAATCACAATCAAAACATTTTGTGAATATATTGTGAACTTATGTACAAGTCATGTTAATTTTTAAATGATCTACTATACAAAATTGATGATATATATTATCAGAATACTTGAATGATTACAACCATTCTAAGTTCCTATTCTGATATAAATATTTTAAATGTTTAGATGATTTCTCAAAAGTGATGTTGAATTTCAAGACAATATGCAAATGTTAAAAGTAGGATATTATCACATTAAATGTTATTAGATTTCTGGTAACATATTTTTCCTTTGATTATTTATTGTAGGCTAAAGATATTCATCCAAAACAATTGACTGCTTCATTAATTCTCAAGCTTAATCGGTTTGCACGTCTTCTTATGTATGATAATCAACTGATTACAAATGAACAAATACATAACGATAATCAAATTTCAGATGAACCACATCGTGTTCTTGCTGATCGATTACTAGAAAAACTACCAATTCTATCATCAAAACAGAAATTGACAAATTATTCAAACAAATTAAACAATATAAATAATGACAGTGTTGATTACATTTCGACGATAAGAAATCCAACGGTAAATAAAACTGAGTCAAATAATTTATGGTCAAAACAGCCGTTAGTTATCAATAATTCATTAACTGGACAAAATAATACAAATTTAGATGGAATAAACAATCATGATTCTGTACACTATTCACCTTTGGTAAATACAGATAGTAAAATGTGCATTTGTGAACCTGAAGAAGATGCCATAGTAAGGTATGTTATATATATGGATGATTTCCTTGTAATGAACAAAATTAGACCATGAGAGCAATAAAATTTACCGCCATTATTCAGTTGAAAAAGAACGAACAATATAAGTGACATTGAATCTATGCATTCAGATCTCCATCCAGCTGTGTGATAACATCTCGGACAGTTTGACTTGAAAGGTACTTAGTGGAGAGTAGATTACACCTGTATCGTCCATTAAATTGTGAAATTTGATTTTCTATATTCACTAACTCTTGTTCCAAATGAACATTTTAACTCACGTCATCGGGTCATTTTGTACTGATTTGTCTATAATGCTTACTAAAACATCAAGAAGGCTGAATATCAATGACTTAAGTTAATCTAACGATCTAATGTGGAGCACAATCGCTGAATAAACAAATTAATGTCACATTCACAGTCACGATGATCTCGAGGTTCAGTCTCTGAAATATAGAATATATTAACGACTAAATTTTCTATCTAGTTCTTACAATTTACATTAACTCACAAAAAATGAAATTGGCAACATTTAGAATATTTACATCGTACACATTTCATTAAGAAATAACCCTTTCTAGCCATTGATTTGGATGAGTCAGGACTATCGATACAGAAAAAGTAGGTTAAACAAAAGATAACTTAAGATTGCAAAAGGAATGAAAGTAAGGCAATACAGAGACTTTAGTTGGTTTAAAATAAACTTTGATTCACGATAGCCCTTCACTTGAGTTTAGCATGATTTACTGAAACTCTATTAAAGTAAATAGCTTTTCATATTCAGATGAACATTAAGGTATGCTGTGATGAACGTATTGTTATATGCTTTTTTTAACACAAAGTAATGTATTAGGTTTAAAATGAATTTAAACACTCATTATTTCATTTGATGCCAAATAATGCAAAACTGGAATATTTAGAATCTTTGAGAACCTTTCTCAGGAAAGTTCTACAAAGTTAACAAAACGATGTATTATTCTTTGGCAAAACATTCTTCGTGTGCACAGTATATATAACATACAATTGATTCAAAATCAGATCACATATGTCAGTTTCGTTATTGACTTGAACTTCAAATGCATTAGGTATACTAGTTTTTCAAAACTTATTGTGGTATATGCTACTTATTGTCTATCGACATAAGTAGTATGTAACACCAAAAGGAGATTGAGAAGATCGAATTGCGGAGAACGGGAATGTTAACAGAGACTAATCGTAATATCAATGAAGGAACAACGGAGTTTGAGACAATCGATTGAATATTTGCAAATAAAGTATTTGATGTATAGTTTTTCACATTAGTTATCCCCACCAAGCCATGTCCACTACAGTATCATTTCTTTGGTAAGTTCAGATAAGAATTAATTATCAATTCCATATGTACTTAATTGTTTTTTCCATCAGATATGTCAATATTATCATGTAAACAACATATTGGATTTAAATTATTAATTGCTCTTGCATTGAAGAGTAATTTTTAACAAAATGACTGTGATACGAAATAATGATATTCTGTTCTATTTTTTTCATTATATAAACTAATGTTTAAATTTGTTATGCCTCTGATGAAGCAACACAGTGTTAAGAAGTATTCTATAGTCACTCCAAAAGTTTCTTTTAAGTATCTTCTAATTTAAATGGTTGATATCATGAGTCAGTTGAAGCTAGACCACCATGGAAAACCTGGAAGCACTGGACGACCGTTTCGTCCTATTGTGGAACTCCTCAGCAGTGCTCACGCACGACCTCGCACCCTATGACGTTCGAACCCATTACCTATTGGTTTCGCGCTCGAGCACTTAACCACTAGACCACTGAGCCGGTGTCAATATCTAGCTTCCAGGTTTTCTATGGTGGTCTAGCTTCAACTGAATCATGATCTTAGCCATTGAAATTAATATAATATCCACAAAACCCATCTGATATTTTTTAATTGTTTTGCATTTTTTTAATATTTTTATGCAATATTCTTGTAGAGCTCACGAATTCCTTGAATGTGATGCACGATTAATTGCAGAAGAAATAACTCAAATTGAAGAAGAAAAATTCGCTCAAATTGATGTGAGTAGTATATTTAAGAGATAGAATCTTCATGATATCTTGAAATAATGAAATATTTCAAGACTAAGCTTAATTTCACACACACACACACACAAAATGATTCATTTATGTCTTTCATGATTAGTAAACCAAATTATAAATAATAAGATTTTTAATGTTTATTTTATAAATATAAACATATCATTCAATTCATAAGATCGTATTATTCATTGTAACCGGTACCATTTATTTGATTAAACTTAATCTGCTGAAAAGTGTACATATTAATCTTATATACATTACTGAAGAGTTAATTATACTCAATCAGAAGCTAGATCGGTGTATTTAGGAATGAATTACGAATATAATTATGAATATAGAATTAATGAATGGAGATGTAGTAATGTAGTGAACAAGAACACCAGTAAGGACAATCGAATGTATTTGAGCACAGAATTACAGAGCATCTCAATAAAATTTGAGAACCATATGTGTTATATCCTAGTGAAGATTACATTACGAGTAACGTCTGAGACCTATTAATGGACTAATATTGTTTATATATTCCCATGGTATACATATTCAGTAACCAGATTATGTATATCCATATTCCCCTCGTTATAAGCTTTATTTTGCCCGACCGAAGCTCCTACCTTGACGCGGTGGTCGGGATTGCCTATCGTGATGACCCAACCAAGCTATATTGGCTGGAACATATGTTCCTGTAGGTTCTACCACGCCAGTAAGACTAAAAGCAGCAACTCAAGGTCTGAGGGCGAAGTCGTACTGCTGACTGTAGAGGGGTGTGACAGCAGTAAGGTGTTTCCCTCGGACAACCAGCATTGCAGCGATGCTGCCTTCCCACAAGGAGGGGTGGGGTTAGAAAAGGTCGACCCTAAAAATGTCACACCTCACCTTACCTCACGGATTTCCGTCTCCGGCGGTAAGGCCCTTTGAAGAACGGAGCTAACACTTAAAAACCTTCCACAAAAAGGCCGTGCGCGACCGGCCTCAAGCAGTTGTCCCTTGGGCTCTGCGGTCACGCTCCCAGGTCGTCAAGACCAACACTAATCCAATTTCCTTTTCAGGTTCCTCAAGAAATACCCTTCCACGGTGTGGGCAGCCGGGAAGTGACATCAGCCCTCATACCCGTAACAGCACACGAGACCAAGGTGGTCACATTCAAATCCTTCCTACACCTCCTAATACCTCTTTTATATCCCGACTAACCCTCCTCACGTCTCTTTATCACCTCGCACCGCTAGGGCAAACGATTCGAGTACGTGGAACGCCATTCCTGGTCTCCTGAAACCACGCTCTAAACTACACGTAGGAGCTTTTAACGTACGAACACTGTGCCAAATAGGACAACAGGCTTCCTTAGCTAAAACTTTAGAATCTCGCGCCATCGATGTGTGCTGCGTCTCCGAAACGCGCATACAGGATCCGAGTAGCGTCATTCATTTGACCTCACCATGCCAAAATAAAGAACCGACTCCACACTTCGTGTATCTGGAAGCCCTGATTCTGCTTCCCGTGGCCTCGCCGGCGTAGGTATAGCATTGAGTCCTAGGGCAGAACTAGCTCTCTTAGAGTGGATCCCAGTAGACAGTCGTTTGTGCGCTGTCCGACTGAACGGAACAGTAAGAATCCGGAAAGATAGGGACACTCGTCGTTGCCTCTTCGTCGTCTCTGCCTATTCTCCCACTGACTGCAGCTCAGATGATGTAAAAGATGAGTTTTACAGAAAGCTTTCCGACCTTCTCCGAAAAGCTAGGCGCTCGGATGTAGTAATAGTGGCCGGTGACTTTAATGCTAAGGAAAGACACCTAGGTGGATCTTATGGTGTCGTGGCTCAAAGAACAGATAATGGCGACCGTCTGTTGCAGCTATGCTCAGATAACCGCCTGTTCCTTGCAAATACTAACTTTAAGCATAAGGAAAAACATCTTTTAACATGGCGACCCCTAATTCGTCCCAACGTTGGACCCAAATAGATCACATCGCTATCAGCCACCGATGGAGGGGCTCGATAGAAGACTGTCGCTCATTCTGGAGCACATGCCTAGATTCAGATCATGCTCTAGTGCGAGCGCGTATTTGCTTGCGTCTTACTGGACGTAGGAAAGACGCTGCAAGGAAACCTCTTAGGGCCTACTTAATGATAGTCAAGCTAAGAGTATATTTCAGGAACAACTAGGAAAACAGTTAGGCAGCCATGTATGTGATGCCCACCCCGATGCAGCATGGAATGATATCCGAAAAGCTGTGGAAACAGCAGTGATATCTGCTAGTAAGGTAAACCAGAAGGTTAGGGAGCAACACTGGATCTCAGCAGCATCTATCGCACTGATAGATGCTCGGAAACTCATTCCACCTGGCTCTGAACATAATGAAGAGCGGAGTCAGCTTAAGCGCAAGCTGACAAGAAGTCTACGCAATGATCGCGAACAGTGGTGGGTAGCGAAAGCAAGAGAGATGGAAAAGGCAGCGGCAATAGGTAATAGCAGACAATTGTTCAGACTCGTTAAGGAAACCGGAATTAGGAACCCGACTGTTAGCGAAACAATCTCAGAGAAAGATGGACATATTATTCATTCTCAATCCAGGAGATTGGATCGATGGGCAGAACACTTTAGGGATCAGTTCAACTGGCCTTCAGCCACACTTCGGTTTCCCACGATCTCCAGTCAACCTGAATGGCAAGTTAATGTAGGTCCTCCGTCTCTTTACGAAGTTGAAAAAGCCATAGGAAATCTAACCAAAGCTCTTGAAGAACAGACTAGAGAAAATCGGGCTGGTTTTCGACCTGGACGTGGTTGTATAGATCAGATATTCATACTAAGTCAGGTTCTAGAACACAGACACACGTTCAGACGCCCACAATGGTAGTATTTCTCGACCTTAAGGCGGCATTTGACTCTGTTGATCGTAAGGTTCTATGGCAGTGTTTGTCACTGAAAGGAGTACCAAAGAAGTACATTAACCTTATAAGGGCTCTCTACTCGAACACAACTGGTCGAGTGAGAGCTTATGGCGAACTGTCATCAGAATTGATTACCTCAAGTGGTGTTCGTCAGGGCTGTCCACTCTCTCCATTCTTGTTCAACTTTGTCATTGACGTACTTTTAGAGATAACACTTTCCTAGTCTGGATTTTCAGGGTTTGAACTTCTACCACTGCATCTCTGTGCAAATGTGGTGTGGCAACTCGAACTGATGTGCCTACGTACGAAGTTCTACGTTGTTACTGACTGACTAACTGACTGAAGCTTTATTTCGACCTATTAGTATTGTACGATTTACTGTTCCTAAGCTATGTTCAGTTTATTGACTAATGCCTCCCACGTTCACAGTCACTTTTAGCTAATATTTTGTACTAGTGTTATTTCCTATTTTATGGTATATGAACCCAGTATGTCTGAAATAAATGATTCACATAGTGGAGGTTGTTGTTGGCATTCTGAACTCAGCTGGACGATTAGACGAGCAACGGACCAATAGTGAGCTAGGCTGATCAGACCGAACGAACATCATTGATTTAGTACAGTACAAAGGCGAATAAGTCGTATTAATATTGGCGGTGATAACTAGTGGGCCATAAAGCCACAACAAAATATCAATCCATCATCCCAAACTTGACTGTTGCTGTTGCAAACATCAATCCATTGTCTCAGATTTCATTGTTCATGTGTTTTCATACCTATTGCGTTCCGTTCCTGTTCTTTCCTCATCGACCTTCTATTGAAATACATTCTATGCCTGACCACAATTATATACTACTTGTGTGGATATAAGTAACCCACACCACAGCAATACTGTTTTGTAACATGATGCGAACAATCTGTTACTGAAATGAAATAAACACCTAGTTACCAGACTAGCTTAATATCTGATTCATTAGTGAACTTAATATTGGTCAAGAAGTTTTAACTTCAAATTACTCAGTATTCACGTATTGTTTTCTGTTATTGATTTACATACATAAAGCGATAAATATTTGAGTTATTTCAAAATTTTTATTAACTTGTTTAGTTCAATGTTAACATGGTTACTGAAAACTGAATTTGTACATTCTTTTTAAACATTTCAGTTTCATGAACTACTAGATATTCAACATTTAGAAAAAGGTGAAGCTCAAACTTTAGGTAAATGTGTTGAACATTTCAATCAAATGACACGTTGGGCTAAAGGAATGCTACTTATAATAGCGCCAAAAATAGTTGAAAAATATTCTTTAGTAAATTTATCAAATCATCAAACAAAAAGTGCAAGTGGTAAATCATTGTTTGATAATTTACGTAGTCGTCATACATGTTCTTCTCTTATTGTTCCAAATATTAAAAATAAAAACAAATTAAGTAATAGAGAATATGATTCACAATCTGATGTAGAATTAACAAACAATATCAAATCTACAAATGAAGATTTTATAAAATCAAATTCGTTAATACACCATAAAAGTATTTTAACAAAGAAAATTGTTTCTGTCAATATTATGTTACAGAAACTATGCGAAATCTTAAAGGTTAGTTATAGTTTTAATTGTAGACACTTGGCAACTAAAGCTTAATAGTTTACGATCATTGATTTTTTTTAGAAAGTACCTAAGATTGTTACTATAGTCATTGGAACTTTATTATTATTGTTCCGAGCTTGTAATTTTTATGGTTGGTATTTAGGGCTGAAACCTGTCATCCATTGTTGATATAGTGACTTTTCTAGTGGATGTTTTGATAAAGACTGTAACTGGAAGTTTATAATATTTTTTAGTAACTGTCAACAGTGAATATTAACAAGTGGTAGAATGAAGATCTCTAGAAAAGCGAAGAACTGTTGATAATTTGGTGGCTATCCTGACTACTTATTATAGTGGATAACCTAATAGCATTTTACGAGATAAGTGGTGAATTCAAATACCTGTATAAACAGATACACCATGCTGGAAAATCATGAATAATGTGAAATGTCGTTTTAGACAATACGAAAATAAGTATCATCATGAACTGTTTGAAGTGTTTTCACAGAGAACAAGGCACTTATTAATTTTTACTGAAAGGAACTAGTTTTATGTATAATCTAAAAGTATTTCAAGAGGGTATTTAACTGTTAACATAATTTATTTTTCATTCATCAACACTACACTTTTTGAATAAATTTGTTTAATGCCAGAAAGAATAATCGGAAAATATTAGACCGAGCAATCATTAACCAAGAAATGTTTAATGGTCTGACTGTTCTAACATGACGATAATAAAATCTCAAAATCTATTTAAATAGTAAACCGAGAAAAGAATTTCTTTTAACTGAATTTTGGTGAAAGTCAGTTTATTAAAGAAAGCCTATGGTTTTATTAAACTAATAGAGCTATTGATCACGAACACTAGTTGAATGGTTTTTTCCAACTAACAAATTATCAATTCGATATTTGAATATACTATTTGTATATCATCGTCATGAATTTTAACCAAAATGTGACAACCCAACTACATAAAGCATTTTCAAAACAAAGTTCATGCTGAACTGTTAGTGTATAAGGGAAGCAATACCAGTTAACTAGTTTGTGTTTGAAATTTGTATACAGAAAATAGCATTTCCAGTCGATAGTGTATACATCATTGTCCATTTTATATCATGGACTTCAATCAATCATTATCGGATGAGACATTCATCAAGATACATAATGATACTATTTTTCAAATTCGGACTAAGTGATTTTCCTATAGTATCTTATACCACTTAAATTCATTTTTTTCTAAAATTTATTTAAACTTTTTAGCATCTAAAGCAATTACACAATTTTAGTTCATTCCTTGCATTATTGTTGGCTATCCAAGAATTACCTGAATGTCTCCTTTCTAAGAAATCAAAACAAGTGAGTTTAAATTTACAATGGACTTTTAAGCGAGACTAAAATTTATGGAAGAACCAATCAAATTTAAGATAACAGGTCTTAGATTTTAATGCAAAATTCATTCATGCATTTGGCTAAATAGCATTTTAGCATTATGGCTGATGTTAATTTGTGAACAAAACATTGAATTCAATTTCTAAGCCTGATGTCTAACTGCAATTTTTTTATAACTATCATTTAACCCTGGTAAGTAGGTGAATATTCTCAAGGTTATTTTAGCATTGCTAAACGTCTGTCCATACATTATGGTCTCACGGAGTTTTAAAATGTAAACGTTGTTAAACATGAGAATAAACACGTAGGCAGAAACAGTTTTGGACATAAATTTATCTTTTATACATAATTATTTAACAAATAGTAATTAAGCAAATCAATTAACAACAATTAGCATTTAGTATTTGAAGACAATACAGTCAGATTCAAATCTTGCAGAATATGAAGTAGTGTAATCCATCAAAACCAATAATTTCATGAACCAATTCTGCAAATACAGTAGCTGTTTTTCGAATATACTTGGATAGTTTATGTGAGTTTGTTTAAACCCTGAACCGGGTATAACGTATTAAAATTAACATTAATGGTATGTTAAATGTAATTAGGAACTCGGTAAACCGACTATTGGTTTCACCATTATTCACTCTTCAAATAAAAGAGGATTTAATATGAAGTGGTTGTTCCTATTTGAATCTGAATAAGGGACAATAGTTGACTCATAAATTTGTATGGCGATAACGAACAATGAAGTACCATAACTTATTAAGTACTGTTGAAACGTTGATAGACAAATTTAATTAGTAGAATTTATCCAACCACTGTGTTTCAACTATCTGGAAAAGTGAATTACTTTACAGTGGCATAAGAAACACATATATGAATTATATTTACATACTACTTATTAGGTTAGAGTAGTACTTTTGATTTCACTTAAAAATACCCCATATTGCTTCAACTCTAAAATTTTCAGTTGGTTGCTGGTTTTTCATCCTATATGAAACCTCCGAATTTCGGTGAATATCGACGAGACTTGGAAACATCCCCATTACCATGTTTGCCTTATTTAGGTTTAATATTCCAACAACTAATTCATTTACATATTGGCAATCCAATTCACCTGTCAACTTCACCAACAACAACATTGTCTAAAAATGATAAAATAGAACATGATATTGAATCTATCAGAGAACATGATGATTCTTCCCACCAAGTGTTTAAACCACTTAAAATGATGGCTACATCACTGAATACAAATTCGACTGATATGGTTAATGTTTGGAGGTGTTGGAAACACTATATGGTACTTGGTTATTTTATAAAACGAAAAGAAGGATCTGTTGAAAAGTAAGCGAATTCTTACGAAAAGTTAATCATTTTACTCCCTCGTAGTAGAGAGTGCATATTTTCGTTAGCTGAAATTTGTGTCCTTCACAGAATATATTTGAATGTAACAGTAAGGTAGTATTTAATGTACTTGATGACTCAAAACACTAAGCACTCATTTCGCTGTTTGCAACCGTATGATTGCACCATCTTATAAAAGACTCTATCCCAAGAATATCATTCTCTTGAAGAATAACGTATGTTCAACTGAGATACTTAACTATACAAAGACTCATAGTTATTTACTTAATTACTTACGTACGTCTGTTACTCCCAATGGAGCATAGGCCGCCGATCAGCATTCTCCAACCCACTCTGTCATGGGCCTGCATTTCTACTTCTATACAATTGTTGTTCATTCTTTCTCAAGTCTGTCTCCATTTCTCGACGTAATCTGTTCTTTGGTATCCCTCTTCTTCTCTGGCCTTGAGGATTTCAAATGAGAGCCTACCTTGTAACGCAGTTGTGTGCTTTCCTCAAGGTTGTTGCTGATAACGTCTGGTGAATGGATCCGAAGTGTTCTGCGTAGACAACTGTTAATAAACACCTGTATCATTTGAATTATGGCTTTCGTAGTTCTCCGAGTTTACGCCCTATACAGTAGAACTGTCTTGACATTTGTATGGAAAATTCTGACCTTGGTGTTGGTTGACAGATGTTTTGAGTTCCAGATGTTCTTCAGTTGTAAATATACTGCTCTTGCTTTACCGATCCGCCCTTTCACATCTGCATCAGATCCACTGTGTTCATCAATGATACTACCCAAATATGTAAAGGTTTTTACATCTTCCAAATCTTCTCCTTTAATTGTGATTGGATTGGTGCATTCTGTGTTGTATCGGAGAATCTTGCTTTTCCTTTTGTGTATATTGAGACCTAATGCTGCCGAAGCTGCTGATGCTGAAAGAGCCAGATCATCTGCGAAGTCTAGATGGTCCAACTGCATCCTAGATGTCCATTGTATCCCGTGCTTCTCCCCAGATGTTGACGTCTTCATGATCCAGTCGATCACCAGAAGAAAGAGGAAGGGTGAGAGTAAGCAACCTTGCCTGACACCGGTCTTTATTTCGAACGACTTTGTCAACTGTCCGCCATGCACAATTTTGCAGTTTAATCCATCATAGGAATTCTGTATGATACTGACTATCTTCTGAAGCACGCCATATTGTCGAAGAAGCTTCCATAGTGTTGTTCTGCCTACGTTATCAAATGCTTTTTCGTAGTAAATGAAGTTGATGTAGAGTGATGAATTCGATTAAACTGATTGTTCCGTAATTATCCGAAAAACTCTCATATGATAGAATTCAACTGTATTTTTTCGAATATAAAACATACATTACAGTTATCATTCAAAGTGATTTTTATACGTATGACGAAATAGTTTTTTTCTATGAAAACTTCTCAAAGAAGTTTCACTTTTATATTTCACATACAAGTGTCTGATTTTCATATTAGAAGGGAAAGTATAGTAAATCGTTTAATATAAAAATTCCTGCTCGTATTTAGTTGTTTAATAGGAAAAAATAATTAATTTGTTAATCAGATAACGATTAAATGATGAGTTAACTTTCACAACACAAATAATTTTAACAGATCTGTAAAAACTAAACGTTATCACACTGAATCTAATCACTACCAGAAACAATTACAAATCCCGAATTAGTATTGGATATTAGGATTAAAATCTCTTTAAAAATAAAAAAAAAAAGATAGCAGCTGTTAATGAAAATCACATACCTACAAGATCACAGGAACTAATCATGTTCTTTGAATGTATTGAAGGATAATATTGTGATTTAAAACATTATAATATATATTGTTACGATTATCAGATCCAATCCAGACATTTGATTAGTTCGATAAAATTTGTAAGTAGCTTATGAAAATGTACAAAATAAAGCAGAATTTATACTACGTTATTTGAATGATCTATTCTTTTCGACTAGGGGAGACGTTATCCAGTAAGTCAATGACATGAAGATAAGTTTCAGGTGGTTAAAAGAAAGCGTAATATGCACAAGAAATTATTATTTAACCATGAACTGAAAGCAGAAAATATCGTTATTTGACGGAAAATCATTTATCTATTTGAATAACTCAGTGAATTTTACACTGGGTAATAAAAGTTCAAACCAAAAATGAAAAATCAGTTCATCCTAGATTGTAATTACGACTTGCTATCAAATCCTTTCAACCAATTGGTGTGAATAAAATATTTTACTTTCAGGAGAAAGCATCACTGAAGCACTGTTACTTGTTTACACCTGTTACTGATCGTGGAGCATATGCTGTTGACCAGAAATCTCTAGACAGCTCTATCTTAGTTCCTTTCCTGTCTCCATCTCCTGATGCAATGTGCTGCGTGGTCTTTCTTCTCTCCTTTTGCCTTGATGTTTCTAAGTAACTAATCATTTTGTTACTAATCCGTAATATCGCGATATTGTTGGTACATGATCGATCCTTACGAAACCGAGCCTCCTGGTGTCGACTGAATCTTTCGTTTGATTCAGCAATAGTTTGCCTACTAATGATACTAGTACAATGTCTTTGTAATTCTGACACTAGATAGGATCTTCTTTCTCTGGTTTCTTGATGAGGTATCCTTTTTCTAGTTTGCCGATACTTGCTCTACCTCCTAAATATTTTCGAAGAGAATGTGAGGCATCTTTGCAGTTAGCTCTATGTCTGATTACAGTGTTTCTGCTTGTATGCTGCCTGGTCCTGCTCTATATCTTTGATGGGTCAATCTTGTTTAAAATGTTTTCCTGAGAGCTGCTGTGTTCCATCACATGGTTGTCTCATTCTCTAGCCTCTTCTTCCGCTGTCATTGTTGTATCTTCATACTCGGTATTTTCTATTCGTCTTGTTGTTTAGGTCTCCCAACAGGATAATCAGTTCATTTTCAGGACATCTCTTAACAATCAACTTCAGCCTCGTATAAAACCGATCTTTATCGTCTCCACAGCTATCATTGATGGGTATTCATTTTAATCCCTTTCTTTGTTTCAGAGGTTCCTTTGATAATACTGAAGCTACAAGATTAAAATTCTGTAGGTGTGCTCCGTGATTCTTTAGAGATTATTAGAGCAACTCCTTGTGTTTTTTCTTTGTCACAAGGTTTACTACAGCATTGCTTTTTAAGTCAATCTTTTCTATTCAGTTTGCATTTAATGGGATTCATTTATTTTTATGGATCCGCAGGTTGTATCTTCACATTTTTGCAGCTACTTGAATGGTTCTTTCAGTGTTCCACAATATGCGGACACCACTTACCTATGTTAATTACTTATCTTGCTGCCAGGAGAGCTATCGACCTTATGGTTTCTGAAAATCTCTACTTACATCATAACATAGCATAACACATTCATATGAGATCTTTCAAATCCCTGTACAGAGTATAAATACTATACAGGATTTTTTCCGGTTGGCATTTTTTAGTATGATTTTTGTCTACGGGACAAGGTTGCTAACGCTATACTCAACCTTGGCTTCGTACCGGTAGTTACCCTAAAAAATCTACAGGTGAATTTAAAGCAACGTAATTTGTAATAAATTCGGTAATAGTTTCACCGACTAAACAAAGGGTAGTTTACATTTGGTAAACATGTGATTTGATCATTTAAGCTCAGTTCTTTCTAAGTTATGCTTCAAATTAAGCAGTTGATATTCTATAAATTTTACAGAATAACATTGTAATAATAAAAGGGATACTACCCTAAGTCAGGATCTGAAAAGTCGGGAAAATGAAAATTTCGTAAATGCGATAAAAATGATCTTGGTGGTCTAGTTATAGTATTCCGACATCAGATAGTGGGTTTTAAGCGTTATTTAAGCCCTAACGCTTCAGGCTGGGCTATTTCGCTTACTACACTATACATGTTGTATGCAGTATAAGTTATATGGCTATATAGAGATGAAGGTCTCATATGAGGCTGGAGGTTCGCCATTGTTATTGTGGATGGTTCGGGATTGCTTTGGCAAGCTCTGCTGACTGTTCATGCACAAAATTGGTTTGCTGGTTGACCGATTTTATTTATACTAGTGGTTGCTTTTCAGTGTTCCCGAGGGCCATTGTCATTGGGACATTGTCAGGCATGTCGCCATTGCTAACATTAACGAGTTTGACTGTCGTGTAAGCGGAATAGGTCAACTTTGGCCTGTTCGTGCTGTGCATAATTGATTCACGCGATCATTGATCGGAATAACTATACATGTGATCTAAATGTGTATATGAATGGTGCGAATGGTGCACCAGAGTGCTTAGTACCTGTGTGTTTGCGCCACAGGATTGAGCTGTACTATTCAGATTGTAGCGTTAAAGCCTATACGATGTCTGGTTCTCATGTGAAGCGGGACTGAGCTGTACTGTTTGGGTTTTCACGTGAAAGTCCGGATGGTTTCTGGTTCTCCTGAAAACCAATGTAAAATTACCCTGGCCCACAAGGATATATTATATAAATAAATTGTAATAATAAAACTTGGTCTGCTTAAATTTGAGTACAAATTATGCGTATGTTTCTAATTTATTTGCTTCGATTTAATATAATAGTATATATATATATATAATCGTAATAATATTATATAATACTTCGATAAAATATTGATTTCATTTTAAAAGAAGCATTTACACCATAAAACTTCTTTTTGTTTGTATTTTCTCTGTTTTCCTATCATAAGCGTTCACCATTTTCCACATAATCCTCAAATTAATCGTATAATTAATGGATTTGAAGATCAATTCAATGACATAGCATTAGATAAAGCCAAAGAACAATTAATTATTATTCTTCAACGTTCAAAACGAAGTATTTTATCATCAAAATGAATCTCAAAAAAATCCGAAAGAAAGAAAAAGAACCAAAGAAAAGAAAAAAGAAAAATCATACTCAGATAATGATCTATTTAGTATTCTGTATTTATAAAATGTTTTTTATCTTTCATTCTAAATCGTCAATCATTTTGTATGTTTTTTTTCTTTCTACGAATATCAATATTGTTGCAAATAATTCATTAAAACCAATATTCTTTTTTTGATTCAATATAATCTTTGTACATAATTATTATATTTTAATTGACAGTTGTCTCAGTTACTGAACGATTGGTTTTGTTCATCTTCTTCATCCTCCTCCTCCTAATCATCATCATCAGCATCATCACGAGGTTAAATTTTGTTTATTTTTTTCTTCGATTTCATTTCTATTTGTTATGATAATTAATTTTGTTTGTTTTTCTTGTCTTATTTTCTTATCTACTTTTTTTTGTATAACAAAAATTTGTAAACACAGTTGTTCTTTTCTTAAAATTCAAAAAAAGTTTACACCTTTTTTAAATATTACCCATGTAATGCAATGAATAGATTTCGTCTGTTCATTCTTTAGTATTAACAATCACTGTTTTAAGATGTTTATAGTATTCTATCGTTTATAACAAAATTATAAATATATATATCTTGTGGTATATTTAACACTTATGAGAAAGATGTTTCTTCATATACGGGTACATCTAATTTACATATTACATTAGTTTGGTGTTATTCAAGTCTTTAAGATAATGTTTGAATTACAAAATGAATTTCATGCTGTCCATATCGATAATGAAATCATGACAAATAGATCGTCTTGCTCCAAGAACTTGGAATCACCAGAGAAATCCATCTGAGTTGTAAATTTTTTTCCGCCATTTTAAAGATAGTATTAAAATGAATTATAAAAATATTTTCACGTTATCATGAAGCAAGAATCATTATGAGAAGTAGAATTATTTTGGTGTTTTCTAAGATCACTTCCTCTGTTTCCGACCATAGATTTGTGAATCAAGCTTAATCGCATGTTTTAACCACTTATAAAAAAAATCTAGTTTACAAAGCATCAATATTAAGGTGAAACTTGATCATTTCAACAAAATATTGATATATTTGTGATGCTTAAATTACTTACTTACTTACACCTGTTACCCCTCATGGGGGAGCATAGGCCGCCCAACAGCACTCTCCATCCAACCCTGTTCTCAGCAATCCTTTCCAGCTCTTTCCAGTTGTTATTCATCTTCATATCTGCTTCTATTTCCCGACGTAATGTGTTCTTTGGTCTTCCTATTTTATTATTTACTTTATGATTCCAAATTAGGGATCGCCTCATGATTCAGTTTGATGATTTGCGTATTGTATGTTCTATCCATTTCCATCGTCTTTTCCTAATTGTATTGAAATGACGAATGGATATAAAGAAAACAACCTTCGAAAATCTGAAAGCACTGAACAGGTGTTCTATCATGGTGTAGGACTCCTCAGCAGTGCACATCAGCGACCCTAAAATTGGAAAAGAAAACCCAAAGATTACAGTCACAATTGACTTCCAAACTGCTGAGCTGGGATTTGCTGGCATTCTAGTCGGACTAAACCTTTAAACACGATTCTGTAAATACATAAAACGGTTTTTTTACTTTATTCGAATTAAGATGTTTTGAAGTATTTGTTATTTTGTAGAAAGTTTTAACTTTGTAACCTTTCGTGATTCGTTACACTTTTCCCGATGTACTATGGCTGTAACGTAAAACTACAGCATCAATCCATGTTATTCAAAGTCAAAGGCTTTCGTTTTAATACGTTTTGAATGTATTTTAGGGACAATTGTTAAATTATATGATGTTTTCTATAGTTCCTCGTTGCAAATATGATTGTATTTTTCTACGTCATCAGAGGTTACATAATATTTCATGCTCGTTTTTACCACACACTTCTAAAAAGTTTAATTTGTCCCATCTTTACGTTATTAAGTAAAATAAATTAACTATTCAACGAAATGAGACCTTTCACATGTATTTATCTCAATATGCATATATTAAATAATATAGTTGAATAATTAGCAATTTGTTTAATTTGCATATGCGTGAATACTGAAAGTAATTAATGCCACTATCGATCTCATTTCTTCTTTTCAAGGTGTACACATTGTCTAATATACTTACATATACGTTTTACAATATGTGATAAAGTCAGTCAATATTATCACTACAATAACTAGTCTTTACATTCGTACACGTACAATATAATCCATCTTAGGTTAACATGCTTATACTTCAGTACATATATATTACGTAGCGGTTTATTTGATTAGTCAATATATACGTCTAAATGTAATTGAATTTGAATGACAAATCAGCATAATAAAACCGTATTTTATTAATCTATAGAAATTTTGAATATGACATGCGGTGTTTTCGGATTGATTGTTCTATCTATATCACTAACTATAAAATGACAACATATACTGATTGATCGCTGAGCAGTAACCAATTTTATAATTGCCTAGTCGCGAATTTTGGTTGAATTCTATCGACCAAGCTGCAATATGTCCACTGGTCTAATTCACTAGATATCATATTTATGTTTAGAGGCAGTCAACAGAAAGCTCTTAGCCTTAGTGTCGATCAATTTTATATTCGTCAGAAAGACATTTGCTTATCATATGATTTGAACAATTTGAGTCGTTATCAGTAGGGTATTTGGACCACAACTAATTATGTGTGGGGCTGAGATATTCATATTGATTGATTACTTAGTAACTATCAGTGTCATGAATCGGTACACGGTAAGTCACAAATCCTATAATTCACATCAAAAGAGTATTGGTTACTCTAACACAAAGGATTCCTACATTGATAAATGTGAGAATGACCTGTTCAAAACATTATTACATTAGTTTAAGTGTACTTCATGTTACATTTTCAATGCTGCGATAAGTTATTCAGTCATTATTAACATAAAATAGAAAAAAGCTGTATCTTGGTCCAGAGATTTATATTTACTTCAGTTATTTCATATTTCTAATTCATAAAATAAACTTAATTAAATTAACCAGAATTGGTTATTGAATCTTCGTCAAATAGTTTACTTTTTTAAATTACTGTTCAAATTTTATGTTACAATCACAATTGTCGAAGAATTATTAACTCTGTAAAATCCTTTTCTTATTGGCTCATATTGATCTTTTTTTTCCATTATAATATTATACGTTTCTGTGGCGAAAATTGATTGTTACCATGTGAATGCCAAGATTATTATTTTTTCATTAAAAGTTATTTGTTTTACAGATAATAACCAGTTTCAAACATAAGTTTACTGGGCAAATTTTGTTTAACTTTTTCTCTTCAATAGAGGAAATGATTTTTTTAAGCTTTTCTCCCAAGTGACACACCCAAAATAGATAAGAAAGTGCTTAGAAAACTAAAATGAACAATTCAGTATACAAAGGAAATTCTTGTGAGTAGTATTTTAAATCTTTTTTTCATTATAGAAACATTTATTTAACTATTTCAAAATGTGACTATTTATAAAACACAGAAAGGTTGGGCTCGAAGTTTGATTGAACAAAAGTAGTTAACATGTCAACAAAGTTATTCGGCTTATAACATTGAATACTTAACAAAACACATTTTAAACGATAATAGATAGTTAAGTGGAAAAAAAATGGTGCTTTTGGTTGTTCTTAGTTTCTATACTATGGTTATGAAATGTAACAAATATATATATAGTTATCAAAGGATCACTCGAATTCACATCTACGTAACTTACCCTGAATATTTAACTTCATCTAGTAATGTGTTTGATCAAATGTCAAACCGATAATCACTAAACTTCAAAGCGATATGAAAGACCACTGTAAATTTGGATGACACATTGTTTATAAATCTGTTCATACTAACAATCTATGATAATCTATGTATTTTGTAATATTTTTGCTTTCTTTATTTAACAATATGGCATTTTTCACGTTCACCGGAATTTATTGTTTCACAAATAACATATTTTTTCTCAAATATTAGTAGCCATTTCAATACACACAAATTATGAGTCAATTGAAGCTAGACCACCGTGAGAAACCTGAAAACACTGGACGGCCATTTCGTCTTAATGTGGGACTCAGCAGTGCGCATCCACGATCCCGCCTCGCGAGATTCGAACCCAGGACCTGTCGGTCTCGCGCGCGAACGCTTAACCTTCAGGTCACTTAGCCGGCACCCAATTATTTAGTCATTTCCCTTATATATTTATATTCATGTACCATATTGAAAAAAACATTTGATTAACTTTTTAACTTTGTTTGAAAATAATCCATTTCATTTAAGGCCAAATAATTCATGTAGAATTGTATAATTTAATTTATACATGTACAATGAGATAAAACTATTTATCGATTTGAGTTCCAATCAAACCCTTCATATTTTATGAACTATTCAGTTGCCATAAGGCATTACAGTACAGCTTGCATTTTTACTCCATGGCTTATGTAACCATTTAAGGAATAATATCAAGATTCGTAATGATCGCTGAAGCTTCTTTTAAACGAAATCATAAAGATTAGAATGATGACTTTATTATATACAATTGGTTGATCATAAGGTGGTGATCAATGTTATGTGTGTCAGGTCCTTCTTAGCGCAAATCAAATCCTATAGACCAAGTTTCAATGTGGTCACTAGTCTAGGTGACTCGACATTGCGTGCACTATGATATTGATCACCACTCAGTGATCAATCAATTGAAAATACATCTTAGTCCTACAGGAGGTCAGTCGCAGCTTGGATGGCCCAGCGGTAATGACCCTGACTGTAAACTTGGGTGACATGGGATCGAATCCGTCAGAGAGAATCAGTTCCTTAGAGATCACAAGTACACCTTGCCGACGAGTGCCAAACAGTACGAAACCTAGGTCAAAAGTTTCCTGTTGATTACCTTCAACCACCGTTTTATCTCGACATTATTATTTCTCTCCTTTTTTCAAGAACCATAGAATTGTTCTGTAAAAGCTGGAAACTTTTTAAAGC